ATCACGTGCAGCCCATGTTTTGTTGTAATTAGAACATGGCTTTGTTTCCAAAGCGAAAGAAGGACGTCATATTAGAATAGAACACATTATAGTAGTCTGGGATGTTCATAACTGCATAAATTCGGTTTTTATAATTTTAAATCTTGAACAACTACCTTAAATTGAAAATCTTCCCCGAAATTAAATCACGATTACCATGGAAAAATCTTATTAAGGACCATTGCAGGAAAACTAAACAAAATTTAAGAAAAAAATCGTAAACTTGTGTTTCGCCAGAGACTACTGCTGTTCGTGTAATGTTGGCTGCCAAAAAAAAACCAAACCCTGTAATAAAAAAAAATAATAAAGAAAAATTCAAACTTTTCTTTTGCTTGTGATCAAGTTTGATAAATTCCATGAAGATTTGACAAAACATTTCAAACTTTTAACATCTTAACCACAGATTGTACCTATATGGGGAACTTTCGAATTTTTACTCTAGATGGTATTGTAGAAGCTTCTCTAAAAGTCTTCCTAAAATTCCACGAAGGTTTGGAGAATTTTATTGATGTTTAACCTTAGACCGTACCTAAATATTAATTCCAAAAAGTCAATCTATCAGTAATAAATTGCTTCGCCGAGCGCAGCTGGATACAACCGCAGAGGTCCAACCATGAACAGTTGGGGCAAATGGACACAATATTCGCGCTTGATATAGGTCTGAATTTGGATTGTAATCCAATATTTGACACATAATAGGTTTCTGACACAGAATAACTGTAGTCAAAGAACTTAGAATTGGTTATATGGTTTGAATTTATACTCATTTTTTTGCTTTTGTGCAATACACTATGCTGTTGCAACATTTCTTTAAATACATAATTTAAAAGCAGTGTCAGGGAGGTAATTCAAAGTTGTGTTTGAATTACCTCCCTTACACTGTAATTTGTACTCAAGTAATTGTCCATTAACCAGGACACCCTTGTTTTTTCTCACTTTTTTTGCCCCTAATTCCTAAACGGTTTGAGCCATAACCCCCCAAAGCCAATCCTAACCATCCCTTTGTGGTATGGAAACTTGTGGTATAATTTCAGAGAGATCCATACACTGTTCCACAAGTTATTGTCATGAAACTAGAAACATGCTTATTTGGGCCCCTTTTTGGCCCCTAATTCCTAAACTGTTGGGACCATAACCCCCAAAATCGATCCCAACCTTCCTTATGTGGTTATAAACCTTATGTTTAAATTTCATAGATTTCTATTTACTAATACTAAAGTTATTGTCCGGAAACCAAATGACTTCGGACGACGACGACAACGTGATACCAATATACGACCGCAAATTTTTTTGCGGTCGTATAAAAATGCGGAAAGGGAAAATATACTATAGGTTTTCAAAATTTTGCCCGACAAAAAAGTCCGTTAAAAACGTAAGTCGTTTTGAACAAAGAAATTATTGTCTTAAATTTAACTACAGACGATGTTTACGTCGCCGCAAACGGAATATGCCAACATAATGGGATCGCTGTTTTGCCTTTGCAGGCGAGACAAAACATGTTCACAGAAAGAGGTGGACTGCAATTTTTTTTACGTGTCTTAAATGAGATCTGATGACGTAGCATAACTATGAGAGTTATCCGCAGCTATGAAGACAACTAGAAATGATATGGAGTACACACTTCAACCACGGGACACGCTTTACTGCATTTTAACGGCACATGGTAACAACTTGGAAATATGGTGGAGTCTAGACAAAAGGTCCCATGAAACTCTAGGAAATAACAAACCAAAGGACCAATGCTAATTATTGCTTTTCTCCATATTGACAGTACATGAATGATGCATTATATTGCCGAAGTCAAGTCAGATAGACTGTCTGGAATAATATTGTTACAATATCAACACAATTACTGCTAAGATGGTAAATATATCGTAAAAAAACCCCGATCACTTCAATGAATTTTCTATGTAATTCCAATTGGGGGGTAAGGATTTCTAAAAGTAGGTCCAAACATAGCCCAACTGGGAGAGAACTCACTAAGTAATGTATGCATGGGAATACTCACATTGCACAACTGCATTACCAGCTAAACAATTACAAAGAAAGACATACAAATGGATAAACAAAATGTTGATTTTTTTTTAAGTTTAGGAAGACGGATGACGCATGAACCACGCGTAAACAAAAAATAAATTGCGTCGACACGGGATAAAAACACAGGCACTTGTCTCTGAAAAAAATAATCCTATGTAGGATTTTTTTTTTTCAGAGACGAAGTGCCTGTGGATGAAAAGGGTTTAAACAATGTCTACCTAACTGTAAATATGTTGCACGAACACAAAACACCAGTAGATAAAATGACTGAAGTATAGATAACTAATCAGTGACTATAGGCATGAAAGGGGATCAATTGTACTTTGTGCCATGTGCAATATGTACTTTGTGCCATGTGCAATATTGTATTTGTATATAAATGAAATGACCAAAATTACAACTGTCAATACAATTCAACTTGGTCAAATGTCTTATCAATGAAAGTTTTGGTAAATGACAAATTGATGGCTGTTGTTAACTAGCAAATACAATCATTTCTAAGGCATGTTAATGCAAAGTACAATGAGTTAATTTTAATGAGGAAATGAATGAATCTTTGATACTTTCTTCCATGAAAAGGGACCCCTATAAGTATCTATGTCTCTGAATTACTCTTTAAGTACACAATACTGAAAGGTGGCTATAAAGGAATGATAATACATGTATAATAATTATCCACATACAAAAATAAAGCTTTCAATTTGAAACATTTTATTGATAAACCAGATGGATTGGAATTACAGGCATGGTGCCAATACTTATCCTAGCTCTAGGTAAACTGTATGGTCTAAACATCCATTACTCAGTAACATTTACATGTATTATTTGAATCACAGTAAGAAGTTTCATGGTGGAACATAAAAGCAGATTTACCTTGCATATGAATTAAGGCATTTTTAAAATATGTTTTTTCAATCATTTCTGATATAAGCCCTTAAGGTTATTTGAAGTAAATGAATGATAATCTATATACATATATTTAACATTGACTTATTGCACAAGAAGATTAATTTGCATGATCGTTATTATTCATCGCAATATTATTTTTTAAAGTAAACACCTGTTACCAAGTCTTTAATGAAATTCCTTAAGCTTGATAAGAACAATAATGGTCTTTAGACATTGTATTAGTGTAATAATCCATGATTCAGTTCAGCGCAGAATGATTTTATTAAAGTAAACATGCACAACAAAGACTTGTGCAATTCCTTGAGATGAACAATAATCGTCTACACAAATCATTCAATGTTCAGCATTTTTGAGACATGCATACAAATTGGATATTTTCTACTAGCTTAGAGTTAGTCCATACTAGAGGCATCAAAGAGCCTATCACATTCACCTATTAAACAATGCATAATATTGAATAATTATCTTTAAACTTTTACCAAAAGCATGGTGCTTATGACAACTCCATTTAGATAACATTTGAGTTTTTTTTTCCCAAAACTTGTGCTTTAAGAAAAGAATAAAAAGTTTTATAGACCAACTTAAGACAATTGATAACAGATGCCAAGGGATAGTAATAGTTCACACTTTTCCTTTTGTATGATGGATGAAATTGATGAAAGCGTTGTAGTTTTTTGTATTCCTTAAAGTACCAATGAATTGCACTGAAGTTTTTTTAAAGTCCACCATCAATTTATAATTAACATGGCAACATGGCCTTACAACGTATAACCCTGGTAGATATCTTTGACTAAAATAGCACTTTCCATATCATGAACTAGTATTTATTGATATATAATGTGCAGGATTTACCGTACTTATTGCTGCATGATAACAGATGCATAAGTAAATGTGAGAAAGCATAAAATCAATTTTCTTGTCAAAGCTTGTATAAGGCAATACATTTTTATTACCCAGAAAAACTAATCTTCTAGCAATTAACCAAACTTTAATGTGTAAAATTTCTGCAGATGCTTTTACCATAGGGACAGAGTGTTGCATATCTGTAATTTTTTGTTAATAGAAATTGGGTTTCATTGAAATGTAAAAATCCAAAATAACATTCTAAATTTATAGCAAAGAATTTTTTGCTCAAACTGGTGCTCGGGAGCATCATGCAATGATGTGCACTTTTTCTCTGTTTTGAAGGTCTCTACATGACTTTTAGATGAATAACATGAGTAAAAGTTCTGTTCCTTTGACTTTGGTTATGTCAGGTCAGTGTAGGGATTTCATGTCATGAATATCTATGCACCATATCCTATCTGTTGTATTATTGTAAGAACTTTTATTTTGGAGGAGTTAAAATATCATGGTTTTGTCTCTAATATGATTTCATGGTATTAATTATTGTGGTTTCTAGTAGGTAAAAAGTAGTTTCTTAAAGAAAACTTTTCGTTCAGGTTTTATGTTGGATAATATCTATCTATAAAATAACGAAATAAATGGGGAATGTGTCCATGGGACACAGATGATGCCCCTGCTTGCATATCATATAAAGTTATAAAGGGACATCACTGAAGAAGGGTAAAAGTGATGCTACCCAAATTTTTACTTGATCTGAGTTTTGTGGTAATAAGTATTGTGTATAAGTTTCATAATATTTGGTTGAGGCAAACTAAAGTTAGAGAATGGAAACGAAGAATTCAGCAATTTTTTCCATTTGTAAACAGGCATAACTCTAGAACGGTTAAAGTGACACCACAAAAATTTAAACTTGATATGTATTTTGTGGTAATAAGCATTATGTATAAGTTTCATAACATTTGGTTGAGTCAAACTAAAGTTAGAGATCGGAAACCAACTTTGGGACGGACGTACGGACGGACGGACAAGGGTAAAACTTAATGCCCCCTTCGCTACGTCGGGGGCATAAAAACCCATGAAAAACTTCTGCTTTTAGAGTATTTATATATGTTAAAGAGATATGATAAATCTGAAAGGGTTTTTCGATTAAATAAACATGTAGAACACAATTCAAGTATACAATAAGAATGATTTTACTTGGTAAACATAATTTTAAAAATCTTGTAAACTGCAATGTGAACACTATATAGATTCAACTTGTTTACAAACATTTTACATGGAATTCCATACAATAACAAGAATCTTTAACAACTAACAACATATTTCAAGTAAACTTGTATATACCCATTGCTTTAAGGAATTATTTTTATCATAAGCAATAGAATTATATTTGGTAACCCACTTTTCTACACATTACATTCCTCACTTTATCATCTGCTAGTAACTCATCACTTATATGAAAAAAGAAAATTCTTTTGTAAGCAATTATAACTTATATGTGAATTTATTCTAGAAATATAACTAAAATGATATATATGTTCACACATGATTTTTTTTTGTCCAAGTATAGTACTTGCTAATAATAGTGAGGAAAAAAGTATTTTGAGAGTGGTATGGGAACTCTATAAATGAAAAAATATACTATGGTTTTCAATATTTTACAGGATTTTTTATAAAGCAATGGGTACTGTAATATGTATATTATCTGAACAATATTACAAGCTAATGTTAATATTTACAACAAAGTAAAAATTTCTCTGATATCCTGTTAAAGACATTTAAAGAAATTCTTTAAATTTTAATGTACAGTGAATATTATAAAGTCAACTTATTTCTGTATATATCTATGATTTATTCAAAATTTTTCCAGAGAGAATCAGGAACATGCAGAGAACGTCCAGATAAGTCTGTAAGGTCTTTAATCCATAACAGAAAGAACATAGCACTGTTTTAATAAAATTGAATTTTTCCACTTTTAATTACACTAAGAATCTTTTAGTTGATGAGAAATAATAATCCACTTTGATGAAATCTGAATTCACTTTTCTATATGAATCACTTAATTTCCAGAAATTTTTAGTCTGACTCACATTCATCTAAAACTTCAAAATCACTTCCCATATCCATGCTTATACCACTTCCTACACTGGCAGCATCTGAAATAATTTTTTGAAGAGTACAAATTTTTAAATCTAAACAGGCAATCGCCCAGGGCAACACATACTTTTATATAATCTTTATTGTCCTTGCTATTTATCTCTGAATACTTTTAAAAACACTTTCAAAACTTTCACAAAATGAGTAAAATCACAGTTTGGTTCTTCAATAAACTGGAGTTTTGTATTTTCACATGACAGCTGTCTGTCATTTTATAAAAAAATGTACAGAATCTCATTACCAATCTAAAACATAATAAACACTGATCTATGGACCAACCATTTCTTTTTTAGCATACAAAAACATTTGATATATTTACAAAATAGAGCAGACATATTGAAACTGTGAAAACTTAGGAAAGGAAAAGCTCTTATTGAAAATATTTACTTTGTTATGTCAGGGCCTTAAAAGGAGCAATTTACATGATATAATGAAATGAAAAAAATGTAGAAATATGAATTTGGTATGATTGCCATGGAGACAAACTATACATAGACTAAAGGACAAAGATGTGAGCAATTATCATGCCATTGTAAATTGAAATATTTTTACCCTACATATATTTACTTTTATTCCATTTTGGGGTAGGCCAACACATGGATTTGATTGATTCTTCCATTTTTCAAATGAACCAGATTAATTAAAAAAAACATAGACATATATATACTCACCCTCATGTTCTAAATCATGTAATTCTTCATTATCAGTCTCATTTCCATCCAATGTTGGCATTACAGCCAAATCTTGATTTAAGCTACTTTCACTAGTGTGTACAGTTAAACTGATATCAATACTTTCACTACTATCCTTTACATCAACATCCTTTCCAAGGTCATCTTTTTCAACAATTTCCTGGCTGCTTGGTTGGTCATCTTTTTCAACAATTTCCTGGCTGCTCAGTTGGTCATCTCTTTCAACAATTTCCTTGCTGCTCGGTTGGTCATCTTTTTCAACAATTTCCTGGCTGCTCAGTTGGTCATCTTTTTCAACAATTTCCTTGCTGCTCGGTTGGTCATCTTTTTCAACATTAACATGGCTGCTTGATCCAATATCACCCTTCACTTCTATTTTTTCAGTCACCATTTCTGCATCATCCTGTTTAGTTTTAGTTTCGTCACATTTTTTAAGCATGGAATGAACAGCTTTTTCTGGCGATTCAATGCGTGACAGACTGTCAATTGCCTCAAGCACAACATCTATTTTGATTTCACTAGTAGAGCTTCCATTGTCTGAGTCCCTAGTATGATCCTCTTGCAAGATTGGTAAATGATCAATATTGTCTAATTCTAAATGAACTAAATCAGAAACACTGCTATTTTTATTGCTTTCAAATGAGTCAATTGATACAGATAAATCAGATTTCATATTTAAATTGAATGTTTCTAAATTGTCAATGTTTAATTCAACACAAACTGGTGTCTTTGACTGATTGTTTTCACTTGTCAAGTCAGAGTTATCAGATAATGAAACCATCTGCCCTTCTGCAATGTTCTTATCAGGTTGATTAATGTCAGAGGTTTTCTCTAATTCTATTTTCTTGTCTGCAAGTTGAATACCAAAATTTTCTTGCACTTCTTCATTGCCAGAGTCCAATGATTTGTTACGGTCTACTTCATCATTATGTTCTTCCAGTGATTCACTTAAACTTTCTAGAGGAACTAGCTCATCCATTTCTATAGGTATAATGTCACTATCATCAATATTAGATTCTGTGATAGTTTCCATTGCTATTTCTGTTGATATTTCTGTTGATGTTTGTTCTTCATTTGCTGAAACAATAATTGCATTCTGGTCATTATCATTGTCTTGTAACACTTCAAATCCTGAGATAAGCTGGTCCTTTTTTGCATTAACCACATGCACAGTTTCAACTATTTCTGATGTTGTCTGATGTTCAGGTGATAGTAGTTCAGGTTTTGTTTCTTTACTCAGTGTCTTATTATTTCTACCAGACATGCTGTCAATTTCGTCTGTATGCAAGGATCCAGAGAGGCTATTTTTTTCATTTTCAGTCTCATCCTCACTATCTAAATCAATGATTTCTGGCTCAGTAACATTTTTTTTCTCATCACAGCTGTCAATTTCTTTTTGAACACTTTCAATTCCACTTGTATTATCTGCAGATATATTCATTTTTGTTTCGATAGTTTCAACCATATCTTCCTCACTAGCCAATGTTTCTGTTTGTAATACCATGCTTGATTGTTCCATGTTTGGTGATTTTGTGTCATTTTTTGTCGGAGTAGTAAAAGAAGTTGTTTCTTCTCTATTTTGTTGGATAACACTTTGAGCACTCTCTTCTTCATTTAGCACTACATCTACTTTATTTGCTTCTTCTTCCTCATTGTTACCAGTTTGTTTTTCAGTACCTGATTTCTCATTTGGATCAATAATCACCTCTACATTTTTATTTTGGTTTTCAGTATGTGAAATGAAAATATTATCTATCAGCATTTCTGAAGCATTTACAGGAATAGCTAATACTGTTGTTTCCTCATCTTCTTGTTTTTCAGTATGCATTTTAGCAGCTGACCGTCCTCTTCTTGGTGTTCTTTTTAAAGTATCTGGATCTGTTTCTTCTGTTTTTTCATCAGTTTGATTCTGATCCTTATCGTCAATTAATTCTTCCATATTTTGAATATTACTTGAAACATCAACAGCTTCCTGGTTTTCTTCAGCTTCTACTTGCTCAGTGTAAATATTCTCCTCTATTTCATTTTGTTTTTTTGCACCTGATCTTCCTCTCCTGGCACTTCTCCTTGATCCACCTCTTCCACGCCCTCTGCCCCTTTTACGCCCTCTTGTAGATTTAGCTGGAATATCCTCCTCTTGCAATGAATCCTCCATTGATGAAATGTCAGTTTTAGAAATTTCTTCTGATGTGTCAGTACTATCTTCAACCTTGTGTATTGTATCCATTGTAATTCTTTCAACTTCATTCTTAGGTTCAGATAGGATTTCGTATTCTGATGTGGAATTTTTATTTTCTTTGAATTTAGTTTCAGAATCTTCCTGGATTTCTTCTACAACTTCATCGTTTTTAACAGACAAATTATCACCAGCCTTAGTAGCTTCAATAATTACTTTTGACTTGCTGTCATTACCAATTTCCTGCAGTTTTGTTTGCTTTTCAATCTCATTACTATCTTGTTCACAGTATTTCCCATTTTCTGCATCTACATTTAAACCTGAGGCTTCTACAAGGTTGTTACTTTTTTCTTTTTCTCCGATCCTCTTACTACCCGTAGCCACATTTTCAACATTCTCTGAGCTCAGTTTTGAATCAACTTGCTCTTTTATAGTTTTGTCAATGCTTTTTTCACCTTCATTAGTTTTGTCAATGATATTTTGTCCATCTTTCTTATCATCATCATCTTTGTTAAAATCACCATCTTCCGTATCAGAAATAATTTCTAGTTCCATTTTCTGCATTCTGTTATTCCCATTGCCACCTCCCACTTCCATTTCCTCGTCAGAATCACCAACTTGGTCAACAACATTTGCATCATCATTAAAGTCAAAATCAGCAAAATCGTCAACTTCACCAACTTCATCAACCATCATTAAATTACTTTCCATTTCATCGCTGGATATATTTTCTAGATCATCATCATTATTATCTATTTCAGACTCACTGGAGACATTTTCTAAATGTTCCTGAATGTCAGATACAAATTTCTCAGATGAACTTGAAATATTTTCTAATTCAGGATCAGAAAAATCTGATGCACTATCTACATTTTCATATTTTCCATTTCGTTCTTCATCGTCTGAAATAGAGACAATATCAACTTGTAAGTGTCTTTTTGGGACATACTTAGTTCTTTCAGCCTGTTTACTTTCCATGGACTTTCTTCTAGCTGATCTAGTTTTCTTAATAAGTGTACGATTTTCTGGTTTTAATTTTTTTTTATTACTTTTAGTCTCAATTTTGGATGTATTTTTTATTTCTTCAATTTGTTCTGGATTAACATCATGTAAATTACTTAACTCCCTTGTTCTCAGTGCTGCTTTTGGTGCTGGTATCTGAGATGTTCTATGTGTCTGAACTACTTCTATTACATTGTCAGCTTTTTTCTCAGTAGTGTCTTTTACACCTAACACTACTTCAATCGTGTTTCCTTCATTTTCATCAATTATTGTTACTTCAGTCATATTTTTTGCATCAGCCTTTTTAGGTCTCCTACGACCTTTATTTGAAACATTTTGACTAACGGATAGGACTTCAATTTTAGATGCTTGAACTGTATCATCAACACAAGTGGAGTCCAAGTTTTCACATGTTGATTTTCCATCTACCACAACAGATAAATGTTGTATTTCTGCTGATTCATCATTTGCTTCCACATCCATATGATCAGTTCCAAGTTCAGTTTCTACAACAACTCTCTCTCCAGTAACATTTTCTTCCTTTGTTTCAGACATTTCTGTCTGTTCATCTGCCCTTTCTATCTTATTTCTTGTCTTTGTAGTGTCCTCATCACAACTCTCATCAGACTGAGAGTCAATTGAAATGACAACAACATCAGAATCCTTTGCCAGTTCCAGTGGAACTGGTTCTTTCTCCTCTATCTTTATTATATTCTTATTATTGCTATCTTCCTCATCAGACATATATGTGACATTGGCTTGTGCATCAATTTCAACCAGGTCAGCAGCTTTAGTTTGCACAATCTGCTTTTCATCAGTTGCTACAATAATTTGTTTATCATCTGAGAAAAACAATGTACACATTTCCTCAGAAGTGATTGTAGCCATTTTCTCATTATTTTCAGTTGGTAAAGATAAATTTTGAGATGGAGGAGGTGGAGGTTTGATCTCAACAATAGGTTCTGACTCATCATTGGTAATTGCCAACATGTCTAAATCTTTCTTTTCCTCGTTGATAATGTTTTTATTTTCTTCATTCTCTATTTCTTTCTTTTCATCTATTTTAACATTTTTATTTTCCTCTGTCTCGTTTTCATTCTTTTCCTCAGCCTCTTTTTCAACCTTATCTAGTGTTTCTTGTTTCTTTGCTTGCACTTTATCAATTAAACTCTGTGCAAGAATCATTTTCCGTTTTTCTGAAACAACTGGTATTTTTTGGTTTTCACCAACAGTAATAAAGTCATCAAGAGAAGGTGGTTCATCATTTTCTACTGAAACTTTTCTTACTGATTCAACTTTTGCTGCTTGTTTTTTTTGTTCTTTGGAAACAGGGTTCCATGGTGGTAAAACAGGATTTTTCTTTGGCGGAGGGGTGGCTTGTTTCGGTTTAATTCCAGTTTTATTGAGAATATTTATTTGTATTTTTCCTTTCTCTTTCTCCTTTTCATCTTCATTTTGGCCATTTTTGTTTTGTGTAGTTTTCTCTTGTTGTTTACTATTAATGTGTTTGTCCCATATGGCTTGCATTTTCTTCTTTTGCTCAAGTTTTCTAGCCTCTGCAGCAGGATCCCTTTCCTTGGGTTCTTCAACTTTTTTTGCCACATCCTGTTTTTTCACTTCCTCTTTCTTTGGTAAAGTTTTTTGTACTTTTTTCTCCTCTTCTTTCATTAGTGACATTCCAGCAGCCTTATCAAGATTTAATCTCTGTTCATAAAATGGGTTTTCTTTCAGGTAATCCTAAAGATAGAAACATAGATAATAATTTAATCAATGATATAATTATCTTATTATTTCAGGTTTTTCTTTTTGTTCAGTTTTGATTTCTTACAATTTGCAAAATATTGAATTAAAATATAATAAATGAAAATGATGGTTATAGTAGCAATGAGAAGGAAAACCAAAAACATAGTTAACCAGAAGAGATTTTTTTTTTCTTTATCTCAATTCTACTTATTCTTAACATATAAAACGAAGATTGTTACCTAGGAGACTGTCACCAACCATTTATTAACTTTAAGATACACTAGTCTCAAAAGTAGACAACACACATATGACAGGCATTTAAGACTAGGGACAACCCAAGGACGATTCCTCACAAATTGAGAGAGAATTCTAAATAAAGTTGGTCAACTGTAACTGTTTGGGATGAATCAAGCCTCTGATAGATGGTCATGACCATAATAAATCACTAACATTTGACACCAACAAATTTAACAATTTTAGATTAAAGACATTACTGTTTATACCTTTTTGGTTTCACAGTCTAAATAGCAATATAACAGAATGCCTGGAGTGTCACAAGACCAGTCAAAACAACTCATTATTTTTCACAGATAAATTGATCACACTTCCCCCACCCCAATTGCTCTGTTTCAATTCATTCTTCTTTCATGATAAAGTTGTCTTAAAAACATTTAGATTTGGATTACAAAATTGATTGACTAGAAATGTAGGCATACAGTGCTATAAACCTTAATATCACTGTTGCTTCTCCAGTGAAACATGAAAAACATAGAAAATAAAACCTTTCATCAATGTATTCAACCATCAACCTTATACAAAGAATATTTACATCTGAGGTCATATCCTATCATTTTACCTGGGGATCAGTGAAAAAAATTGGGCTCATTGGTTAACATTTTTAGAAAGACAGATGCATAATATATAGTTTCATCTTAATTTAAACTATAAGTATAACTCGAAAGATGACATACATTTTTTGCTTATCTTCTTAAATCATAAACAAGTAAAATCACTATAGAAATGTTAAACTTACCTTTGATAAATAACTGTACATACACTTAACTTCAGTTGCTCAAACATAATTTCATCAAACATCATTGGTATCATCAAAGACAATAGGAGCTACATGTGTAGTAACATTAATTGCAATAATGAAAGAAACCAGGTGGTAAGCATGTAATGGTAATCAAGCAACTGAAGTTAAACAGCATATTCAGCCTTACCTGATACTTAAGATAATGGTTTTCAGTTTTAATGTGATGTTCAGCACTGATATCATCTCCAGCATGTTCTTTACACAAAGTACAATAATAACCTTTGGTAGCCATGAAGAATTCTTGTCCTGCAGTTAAAAACACAGTGATTTAAACTTTTGATACAATATAATATTTCTATGGATGAAAAAGGGATGCTTTGATGTAAATAAATAGAAATCATAGAAAACCAAATTTCACCACTGCTGCAGGTACTCTGCAAGACCATTTAAATGACTAATGATTGATTCAGGCATTGTAAAGAACCATTTAAATGACTAATGATTGATTCAGGTATTGTAAAGGACCATTTAAATGACTAATGATTGATTCAGGTATTGAAAAGGACTATTTAAATAAATGTAATGACTGGTTCAGGTATTGTAAAAGAGAAAGGATTATTTAAATGGATGTAATGGTTGAATCGGGTATTCTAAGGGACCATTTGAAATACTGTATTGATTGTTTCAGGTACATGTATTATAATTTATAAAGGACCATTTGAATGATTGTAATGATTGATTCATGTATTTGTATGACCATTGAATGCCTGTAGTTGTTAATTATGGCATTCTGTAAGACCCTTTGAATGACTCTTGTGATTGATTCAGGAAAATGTAATACCATTTGGATGGCTTCTGTCTTTATGTTCTCATTCTTTTAACATTAAATCAACAGCAAATGATACAATAATTACTATGAATCTTGCTGAAAACAAAAAGATTCATTTATACCATGGGAAATGACATCTTTGTGATATTGTAAATATGCAAATGAGTATGTAGCTTGTTGAATTTCTCTACTAAGCCGAACCTATCCACAAATAAAATCCTTTGACATGTAAGAGTCTAAGAGACCATTCACAATTAGAATAACAAACTTAATTTGGTTAAATCCAACAAGAACAAAATGTACACTGTGTAGTGACCATTGTAAGTTCAAATTTCAAATATAACAAATATGTGTCCAGGACACTATGCCTCCCGCCTCCAACTATAACATTTTCTGTAAATCAGTAAATCTCGAAATCTGGGTAAAACCCCCTAATTTGGCATATATTTCAAAAGTGCACATCATAAAAGAACACTTTAGTTTCTAGTTGATATGACCTAACTTCATATTAAACTACTTTGAACAAAAGTTTTAATAACCTGTTACAGAAAGATTGGATGGAGGGTGAACATACATAGGCACAGACAAGAAAACTCAATTATCCCAACTATCCTAAGTGGGCAAAAATAATAAAATGGACTTAAATGAAACACTTTATTGAACTGTCTGATTAAACTTTTGATACTTGCTTGGACATCCATATTGCCAGAAACAAAATGTAACTTGACACCCAAGTCATCATTAAAAACTAATGTACCAAATATAAGCCTCAAATCTCATCTTCAGGCATTACAAAAAAAATCTGGATGAGTACAGTTTCAAGGACTGTAAATCAGCCAAAAGAAGGTCCACTGGGACAAAATGCAAACTTTGTCAGTAAGCCATTTTTATATACTAAAGTTCCAAAAATTAGATCAATGTCAAATAAAAAACAGACAGACACTGGCAACCCTATATGTGATTCCAACTCATTTGCATGTGCATTTCTTGCAGACTAATATAATTTTTGTAATGGTAAATGATACTGATTAATAGGTCTAAGAGATACTTAAAGAAACTTGTAAGGAACATCGTCATTTAGACCAATTAAGTTACTTAATAATATCTTTGTGGACCATTATCTCTAGAATTTATATACATATATATATATATATTACACAAATTGAAATTTAATTTATTAGTTCTCTGTTCTTACTAATCTCAGCTGGTTTCCAGTATCAAGTAATCAAAAGAATTATTTGGCCAAAATCAATTTTGTTTTCAGATAAAATGTTGACTGTTCCATATTTAACATATCTTAATCTTTTCCCAGACATAACTGGTATTGTCTCTTCAAATATTTAGCACAAATGTTAGAATAAAGTGTAGAAAAAATCATATAATGCCATTACAATTAACCTACAGACAAACACATTTGATGGAACAATTCCACCTGCAAAATGGACATAGTCAGATAAAAAAAACATTCAAGCCAACAAAAGGGAAGTATTAGATGTAAATATAGTCGAATATGTAACAAGCTGTTAACATCTAAGTTCCTGTTGACACAGTCACATCTCATTGTTTATGATTGGAAATAGACAATATCTCAGAATAGCAGTTTTAACTGATTTAAATGTTAGTGTTAAAAATGCAAACCATCAATAATGTAATTAAATAAATAATGAGTAACATATTGAGGGTAAATTTCATTTAAGAAATTGTATGTTTATATTAATATGCATGAAATGGATGTGTCACATTTTTGTTCACTGAGCATTGACTTCCAATGGCCAGGTTGCTATTACACTGTACCAGTTTTCTGAAAATTTGAATAAAATATTTTAAAAATAAATCAACTGCTATTAATCAGAACAAATGAATAAAACTGAGCAGGAGTGTTTCCGTACGCAACCATATAAAGAGTTTTAATCTATTTAAACTCTTCCCAAAATACCACAAACACCAAATACTATAAATAAAAAGCCTTAAGAAGTAAGTTTTGTTTTCATTTACCAATACAAAACATTGATCAACAATATAAACATGTACTTTTTTTATCAATGTGCAAAGTTTCAACATAAAAAAAAATAATTCTGATACAACTTGGTCAAGGCACAGACCTGCACTGTCCATTTAAATCTTGATATGGTCAATGTATGTCACTGTGTCAGTCCATATATGTTAAAATCAAATTATGGATTAATTTTCATTGCCTTGAAAATTAAGTATTTGAATTTTCTCCAATTTTACTTCATCACTAAAACAATGTCAGATCTTACTGCTTGTAACCCTGGTGTTAAATGGAGGAGAAAAATTTGAAGATAAGGGAAAGACACAAATGATCCTAACGAGAGCTTAATATCTTTACTCTACATATATACTTACACCAAGATGTCTTTGAATGAAATTGGACACCCTGCATTTATCATGCTTTTCAATAACATATGGTCAAATCGCTGAAAGACCCCCTTTCCAAAATTATGAAAAATTAAAATAATATCTAGGTGTAAATTAGATGCAGCCAATTGGGCTAACGCCCTCATAGGTGTATCTAATGCATGTACTGTCTTCCTGTACAGTTTTCTCTGCTGTCTGACTGAGAATTACCTCATGGGTAATCAAGGTTGTTAAAAAAAACCTCGTCATTGTCTGACTGAATGGCAAATTATGTTTCAGATTTGAGGTATGCTGCCTTTTGTACTATTTAACTACTTAATAACAAAAAAAATAATGTATTTAGTCTAATTCAGTCTAATTTCTTAATACTTAGTTGTTAGAATGTCTGATTTGAGAAGTCTCTGGTGTCTAAAACTGTCAACCTGTCTGTGCCCTCTCTGCTGTCCATTAAAAAGGGACAAATGTTTACACAAATATGTAACCCTGTGATACTGACACACACACAACCATTGACTATGTAGGTGACAGTACAAAGGTTGTACAATATATCTGTAGATTCTGCGAGACCTTTTATTGGAGTTACTTCTACTTTGATATCTTCCTTGTTGTCAGTTTTCTCATTGATTGGTTTTTGGGTCCTCAATTCTTCTGGCAGCCATGGCCTGTCATACTTGTTAACCAACTGGAAAATAATACAAATCAGCTATCATTTAAAGTTAATAATGACAGTTATTTATTTTTAACAAATGAAAAATAAAATTACATATTCATTTATATTCTATCTGCTTTAATTCTTTTTATGAAAATGTCTACATGCTATTACAAATCTACATAAATGTATTACTTTTAAAGGATAAATCATAATATCTGAAAAAAAAAGAAACTTACATTTTGATGTTTTTTTCCATGAAGATGTTGCAACATAGATGTCAAACTAGAACATACAACATTACAGGTACGACACCAATGATTTCCTGGATCAAAGAACTCATACTTTATCTTCTTTACTGGTTTTATAGGTTTGTATGTATCCTAAAAAGATATTGGTAAGACTTCAAAAAAAATTTATACATTTATGCATGTGGATTTGATACTTCTGCATTCAATATTCCATCTAAATTCAGATTGTTACAAAAGATTAAATGTTAATATTCTATCATAACTGTGTTACTATGTATTAAATAAAATTGTTGAAATAGCAAAATCCTCGGTATGTCTGTCTCACCATCTTCCCAAAATGTATATTTCTCTGTCTATGTGGATTGATATCCCTTACTTTAAATGTTAGCCCGCATATTCTGCTAACACCTATAAATGTCAGAGCAATATTATACTAAATATCCATTACAATGGTGTATTGAAGTAACTTCTTTAGTTTATAATCAGATTTACAAAAATTGATTCAGAAAACCTAACTTGGAACACATTTAAATTCTACAGCATCTATGCTCTACAATCTACTTGTAAATGAGTATCAACAAGAATGCCCCACTTGCACTATCATTTTCTATGTTCAGTGGACCTGAAATTGGGGTCAAAACTCTAATTTGGCATTAAAATTAGAAAGATCATATCATAGGGAACATGTGTACTAAGTTTCAAGTTGGTTGGACTTCAACTTCATCAAAAACTACCTTGACCAAAAACTTTAACCTGAAGCGGGACAGACGGAAGTACGGACGAACAAATGAAGGAACGCACAGACCGAAAAAACATAATGCCTCTCTACTATCGTAGGTGGGGCATAAAAATAAAGGAATCCACAGTAAATGTGAAATCATAAACTAGAAATTTCTGATCCAATTTGTGGAAATAAGATGTTCAGTCAAATTGCTCTTGAGGAATCAGAGCATAAGCAGCAAAATTTTGTCACGCAAATATAGAATAAAATGCTCCGCAGGGCGCAGCTTGATACGACCGCAGAGGTCGAACCCTGAACAGTTGGGGCAAGTATGGACACAACATTCAAGCTTGATACAGCTCTGAATTTGGATTGTGATTAAATATTTGACACAGCATAGGTTTCTGACACAGAATGAATGTGGCCTAAGAACTTAAAAATTTTAAATTGGACATTCACCTATTATGGTGCAATATCCAAAATCTAAATACATGGTTAGATTCAGCATATCAAAGAACCCCAAGAATTCAATTTTTGATGAAATAAAACAAAGTTTAATTTTGGACCCCGATTTGGACCAACTTGAAAACTGGGCCCATAATCAAAAATCTAAATACATGTTTAGATTCAGCATATCAAAGAACCCTAAAAAATCAATTTTTGTTAAAATCAAACTAAGTTTAATTTTGGACCCTTTGGACCTTAATGTAGACCAATTTGAAAACGGAACCAAAAATTAAGAATCTAAATACACTGTTAGATTCGGCTTATCAAAGAACCCCAATAATTCAATTTTTGATGAAATCAAACAAAGTTAAATTTTGGACCCTTTTGACCTCAATGTGGACAAAGTTGATAACGGGGCCCAAAAATCAAAAATCTAAATACATGGTTAGATTCAGCATATCAAAGAACCCCATATATTCAATTTTTGTTGAAATCAAACAAAGTTTAATTTTGGACCCCGATTTGGACTAACTTGAAAACTGGGCCCATAATCAAAAATCTAAATACATGTTTAGATTCAGCATATCAAAGAACCCTAAAAATTCAATTTTTGTTAAAATCATACTAAGTTTAATTTTGGACCCTTTGGACCTTAATGTAGACCAATTTGAAAACGGAACCAAAAATTAAGAATCTAAATACACGGTTAGATTCAGCATATCAAAGAACCCCAATAATTCAATTTTTGATGAAATCAAACAAAGTTAAATTTTGGACCCTTTGGACCTCAATGTGGACCAATTTAAAAACGGGGCCCAAAATCCAAAAACTTAATACACGGTTAGATTCAGCATATTAAAGAACCCCAAGAATTCAAGAATAAAACCCCATTGAAATTGATCAAGAAATAAGCAATTTATACGAAGTATCTTCTTTTGCACAATACTGTGCAATTGAATATTTCTTGCTATTGCGCAATACTGTACAATTGACAATTTCTTGCTATTGCGCAATATTGTGCTATTGGATATTTCTTGCTATTGCGCAATACTGTGCAATTGAAGATTTCTTGCTATTGCGCAATACTGTGCAATTGAAGATTTCTTGCTATTGTGCAATACTGTGCAATTGAAAATTTCTTGCTATTGCACAATACTTATTAGATAATAATTTACACATCCTGTTTGGTGTGTATCTCCTACCATATCATTATTATTTGCTTTTAAATGTTAATCAGAAATAACCAACTTAAAATGGAAAATTTTAAAAGAAAAAAAAAAGGAAAAAAAGAAAAAAAAAAATCCCCCCCCAAAATTTTTTGAACCCCCTTATGATTCATCACCCCCAAACTCAATCCCAGCCTTCCCTTTGTGGTATGGTACCTTGCAGTACAATTTCAGAGAGATCCATACACTTGAACACAAGTTATTGTCTGGAAACTAGAAAAATGCTTATTTTTGGCCCCTTTTTGGCCCCCAATTCCTAAACGTTTCGGGCAATTACCCCCAAACTCAATTCCAGCTTTCCCTTTGTGATATGGAACCTTGTAGTACAATTTCAGAAATATCCATACACTTACACACAAGTTATTGTCATGAAACTAGAAAAATGCTTGTTTTTTTCCCCTTTTTTGGCCCCTAATTCCTAAAATTTTGAGGCAATTACCCCCAAAATCAATTACAGCCTTTCCTTTGTGATATGGAACCTTGTGGTACAATGTCAGAGAGATCCATACACTTACACACAAGTTATTGTCAGGAAGTTACAAAAATGCTTATTTTTGGCCCCTTTTTGGCCCCTAATTCCTTAACTGTTGGTACCATAACCCCCAAAATCAATCCCAACCTTCCTTTCGTGGTATTGAACCTTATGGTAAAATTTCATGGAGATCCATTCACTTAGACTAAAGTTAGAGTGCGAAAACCAATGTGTCTTCGGACGACGCCGGACGACGCCAGACGACGACGATGACGCCAACGTCATACCAATATACGACCAAAAAATTTTTAATTTTTGCGGTCTTATAAAAAGGATGCGTGTGTTAAATGTGTTTTGAAAACTGGGGCATAATTAAGACATTTCAGCGGCCCTTTCACAAAAAATCTTGAGTAAAAATACTTGTAAGTCATACACATTTCAGTATAACTTACGATCAATTTTAATCGTTAAGATTTTTTGTGAAAAGTGTCGCAGTAACTTAAGAGGAATCCCAAAGCTTACTCTATATTTAAATCAGATATTAATATAATGTCCTAGGTGAATGAGTTCTCTAAACTTGTGTCTAGCTTTTCCTTATACATTTTCCACAAAATCCATAGTATCTAGTAGTCCCCCAATTATCCATGAATTTTTTTTTTCAGATTGTTTCAAGTATTTGGAATAAAGTTCAAGGATTTGAATTCAAGTATAAATTTGTAAAATGTTATCAGAGTAGAGGGTTTTCAATGGAAATACATTGTTTTAACTACAAAAAAAGCTATTATTCTTATATTTAACATCTGATGTCATGACCATGACATTAATTAGGAGGGAAAAGTGCAAAAATGTATTTATATTCACATTTAGTTTATCTGATCAAACAAAAATACAAGCTGAAACATGTCATAAGTGAGTTAATGCATGTCAATAATTAAATTATTTTCTTCTATGGCAGATTTACTTGAATTTAACAAGTGTTTAAAAAATATAGTACAATAGTAGTACATATTACAGATCTGGTTTTGACTAAAATTTGAAATCCACTACAAAAAGCTTTATTTGTGAAATAAAATACAAGACCAACTTTTTAAAACCATATTATCATGTAAATAATTGTCTTTTAATACCTCTCCTTTTATAATCATATAACACAAATGTATTCATTGTAATTTATAATTGGAACTGCTGGGCTGACTCTAAGGAATATTAATGAATATTTGTAACACAACTACTTACCTTTGTTGGAGTTGATTCAGGTACAACAGTCTTAGGTTTTTGTTGCTCTACCTTTGGTGTCTCCTTTTTTTCTATAGATGATTTAGTTACAGATGAAGATCGACGTTCATCTTGTTTAAGTTTTTCTTTTGAACCAATGTCATCTTTTCTTTTTGCTGTATCTAACTTCTGTTTTTCTCTGATGCGATCATTATATCTTTTGTCTGTTCTTGGTTTTTTAGCAGATGATTCAGTTGCCAATGGAGATTGCCTGGTAGCTGATGATTCACGTGATCTTTTAGGGGTTGAAGGTGTGTCTTCAACTGAAGCGTCACTTAAAAGTTTTGCTTTCTCTTCTACTTCCTGTTTCAGTTTGGTAATTTGTTTAGCGATTTCATCCTGTAGAATGCTGTTTTGCATTAGTATTGGATCTTTATGTCCATCCTTTTGTCTTCTTCTCTTCCTCATTAGTTCATTCTGTTGTTTACGTAAGGAAGCTAACTCTTGTTCTAAAATTTTCAGTCTCTGTTGAACCTGCTCCTTCTCTCTGACCAATTTCTCTTTCTCTTTTGGTGTAAGGATTACTTTAGTGATAACTATTTTCAGTTTCTCACTACTAGACTTTGGACTTGATTTCTCAGTTATAGGCTTTTTCATTAGAGTTTTTGTTTTGGGTGGCAACACAGTTCTATTTGAACTTGTCGTTGTAGAACTGACTATATTCTCTTTTGATTTCCCCTTTTCTCCTTTTTTAACTTTTCTAATGACTGTTACAGTCTTTGTTTCACTTCTCTTAGGGGGGTCATCCATTTTCTTCAGTTCTACAGTCTTCAAATTAGATTGTTTCTTTGGTAGTACTTTTGCGGTTGTTGTAAAAGTGTCTTTCCCTTTGGATGTTTCTACTGATTTGAACGAATCCTTATATGATCCTGACGTAGGTGGAGGAACTCTATATGGAGAATATCCAGGTGGATATCCTGGAGGATAGCCTGGAGGTGGAGCACTATAAGGAGGAATAAATCTAGTTCCATAGGTTGGTTGACCAGGTGGTGGTCCCCACATACCAGGATGACCAGGGGGAGGCATTCCATATGGCGGTGGCCCTGTGTAAGCTGCAGGTTGGGGAGCAAAAGAGGAAAACCCAGATACTGCATATGGTGTTGTTGAGACTGCAGTACTTGTTGCTGGATATGAACTGGACACTGTAGACACAGCATATGTAGCAGCTGGTGGATATGAGCTAACTGGGACTGCATAAGGTGGTGATGGTGGCTGAGAGGCTGGTACAACTGCAGGTCTACTTCTATCATCACTATAAGACTCTCTTAAAGGTGCAGGTCTACTTCTATCATCACTGTAAGACTCCCTTGTGTAACTCCTGTCACCTGAAGGTATAGAATCCCTTCTTTCCCTAGAAGATACAGTATCTATTCTTAATTTAAGTTTGTCACTTGTAGGTGATGTCATTTTTGCCTCTCTTAACAAGACATCAACCATGGATTCTTTTTCAAATCTATTTTTCATGGGGAAAAATTCTTTTTTAATATCATCAGACAGTTCTCCTCCAAGAAATGTTGATGCTTGATCAATGCCATACTGATGAATTTCTTCTTTTGGTTTTATCGGGGTTGGGTGTGCCTTTTCCTGCATTCGCTTTGACATTTCAAAATCAAAACCAATAGATTTCAGTATGTTTTCTATAGTGGGATCATATTTGGCTTTTTTTTCTGTTGGGGATGTGCTTTGTGACTGATGACCTGAAAAAGATGCACTAGTTGTAGGATTTGTCTGTCCTCTTTGACTTGTAAAAATACTCAGGAGATCCGATTCTTTTGGAGGCAACTGCTGTGGAGTAACATGTCCTCTGTAATCTCTTTCTGAGGGATAATCAGACTTTTGTTGATCAAATCGTGGAGGGTATCTATCATCTGATCTAAACCCTGCTTCAGAGGGTCTTTCCTCCTTTGAATAGTGAGTATGTTCATTAGGTTCTCTTCTGTCATAGTAGTTTTTAAGTTTAGATTCTTTTTTAGCTTTGTCCTCACTATCATCACCATAGAGAAATCTCTCCTCATCTTCAATATCCATATATGAGGACATTCCTGGTAGACTAGATAACGATTTTGGTGATATTTTTTGGTGTCCTTTTTTACCACTGGCTGCTTGCCCTATCGAATCTATTTGCTTAGGAGTTCCATATGGAGTTGATGGGAATGGTGCATTTTTGTCTGAAGTGAATGCAGGTGGATCAGGAGCACTCTTCTTCAAAATAGATTTTAATGGTTTAGTATCACCAGATCCTGGTGCAGTCTGTTGTGATTGCACAGAACTGTATGGATTTGGGGATGAGTAAGCTCCTGAATATGCATGTGAAGAATGAGAATCTGGAATTCTGTATCTACTCACAGATTCACTTTGAGAATGTGTGTCCTGTGAATATTCATCTCTGACATAGGATGATTTATCTCTTTCATGTTCATGTCGTCTTTGATGATCATATGAATCACTTCTTCGTGAATGGTCATCATATCGATCCACCTTATCTCTACTTCCATGATCTCGCCTGTCTCTCTCACTACTATATTCTCGTCTTTCACTGTAGCGATCATGTGAGTCATGTCTTCCACGATCACGATCTTTTCTATCTCGGTCACGTGATGATGATCGTCTATCTCGGTCACGATCATAAGAACTGGGCTTCCAATCACGGTCATATGAATCAGATTGACCATGATCATGAGAACCTCTATGAGGTGAGCGGGGACTTTCATACCTATCTCTCCTAGTTTGTCTTTTGGCACGTTCATCACCAGATCCACCACCATACAACTCATCATATCTTTCATCTGAATGATGCTTCATGTCATCATATGACTCATGTCTTTTAACTGGTGGTCCAAGCCTACTTGAGAGTGGACTTTTGGATTTCCCTTCTTTGTATATTTCATTTCCAACAGTAATCCTTAGAGACTCATGTGAAGGTGACATCTCATCTCGCTGAAAACAAAACAAGATTTTCAGCTTATCAAATGCCCAAGTTCATTAAAAATGAATATAATCATCTTGCTTAAGCTATAATGAACCTACATGTACTATTGTTTCTTGCTTTTTACCTGGTCTCTATATGAATTTGAAGTATATTCTACCATTTTCTCAAACAAAAGTTGACAAAGAAATATCTGTACGTATTTTACGTAGGAAGAAACACTTTTTTCTCCAGTTTCAATAGCCATAAATGTGCTGTGTTATGCATCAATACATTTTATAGACACCAAAAGATGGTAGTCCAATATCTCTGGAAAATATAAATTGGAATATTTTCAAAAATAAAAAGGGTGCTGACTATTACCAATCCCAACTATAATAAGATTAAGTTTCAAGTAAATCAATCAAAGCATACTCAGGTTAACTGATATTTTCTTTTGTAAATGTAGAAGTTGATATATCTGTTTGCAAGATCTTGAGTACCCTAACACAAAGATAAATGTTAACACTTATACAGGACTCCGCAACAATAATGCTCTTCTCATACAAAAGATAAATTTTGTTGAGACATTTTAAGACGATGGTGCAGATAAGGATAGCTTTAGTTGCAATCTTTATTTTTTTGTTATAGAAGAAACAGTCTTTGTGTCAAGTATAATGAAGAATGTAAAGGCTGCTGATATTTTTTGTCAAATCATTTTTGCCCAAATTTCAATTCTCTATCTGTAACCCAGGATTTCCCCAAAAAGTTAAGCCAGCTGGACATCCGCCCACCTGATTCAGTCTTTTTTGTTTTTGTAACTCATTTGTGCCAATCAAGATAACCACTAAGGGGATTCAGGTCAAGGAATGGAATCACAATATATTATACATGTAATTGATTACTACATATTTTATGTGGGTTATCAGAGTTCTTGAAAAGTGGCAGCCCAAAAAATTTGACCACCAAGATTTTGCTTCGGACAGACACAATTTGGTATTTTGCATTAGAAATAGTAGCGAGTACCAGCAGATTTTCTTCAAGGACCACACCAGGGGAAAAAAGATTTCGAGAACTCTGGGTAATGTTGGTTCCATTAACTGACAGATTCTCAAGCATTTATATTGGTTTCATTCAAAATGAACTGAGTGAAAAACCCCTTATCTTTAACATTAAGGCCACACTCTTTTACAAGAAATTGTCTGTTGTATTTTATGGTTTAAGCATATATAATCTGATAAGGTCATTCAGTTATGGTATAATAAAAGAAAACCGAGCTTATATTGATGATGTTTATTTAAAATTTTTACTTGAATTATATGTTACTGATAGCTTATATTATGTACAATTAAAATCTTTAATCAAAAACTTGCTTTGTATTAAATGAATATATGTATTAGATTATAAATATAACAAGAGGTGTAACTACAATATACATATTAGGGGAAGGAAGATAATAGTATACCGGTACCAAAAAATATTTATAACAGGAAGTCAATGAATTAAAAGCATTTATTTAGCAATAAAGGCAAGTTTGTATGGTGTCAATCAAAATAAATATATGTATGATCAGTTGATGCCTAACACTCTCAGCTTCTGTCAGACAATTATACCAAATAAGTCATGTACATGTATGTCTGATATAGTATGTCTGTCTGGACCGTCCAGCCAACACAATTGGCACAGACTGTATGATACATCTTGGTATAAATTATTTAACTCAATTATGTGTCCGGTTTATCAACAAAGGGAGTTTCCAATTCACATTTTACATGCATCTGACAGTTAAATGAATAATAGTTATTCTATTTGTGGAAAAAAAAATTAATTCCACCCTAAGACGTCCAGTTTTCTACTTGGAGAATTATAGCACCTGTGGCCATAGTACGATGGGTCTATCTTTCCCATAGTGCTATAATGAAACCATTATGCTATCTGAATAGATTTTACAATAAAATGTCATATAAATGAGGTGATATAATTTTGGGAGAAAACACTGACATCCAAATATAAATAAATCATAAAGGATTCCCCAGTAGTTAATGTTGACAGCCAAACACTTATTCCATTTACGTTACAACTACAACTGTATAAGTAAAATATGGATAAAAAGAGTCAAAATTTTTTGCTACTTCTTGATCTTGAGTATAAAATAAATTTTCATACTGAACTTCGGTAAAATTTGATGGACCGAATCTCTGGAACGTTTGATTTACCAGACATTCAGGTCTGTCAAATTTTACGTACTTCAGAATGAATATTTATTTCATACTCTCCAAAGTGAAGGATCTTGGGAAATCAGGTTAACCACTAGGTCATCTAATTGGAGTTGTAACTTATTTTATCATTATTTTTGGAAATATTCTGCACCAACAAGTACACAAAAAATAATAAAGTTGTGTATATGCAAAAATTTAATCGAAGATTTCATCATCATGGCAAAATTGGGTCCCAAAGTTGATAGGAAAATGCTCTCTCAAAGTCCAGCAGAAAAAAAAATTATTTCTGCCTTTTGACATCATAGGAAGGCGTCACAGCAAAAAATTAAAATAGTCTTTCAAGACCTGCAGGATGTCAGAATTATTTGGACTAATCCCAAACCTGTTAACTATTTTGGTGGGTTGTGCCCAATCTGTTCAACAGGTTGGGATGGATCCTCATACATGTAAATGGGTTCTATCCTTATTTATAGGTATTATACCCCAAAACAGGTATCAAATTTCAGTGATAAAAATATAAACTTTGCATTTACAGATCTATATTTTCTGTCATGGCGCAAACATTTGGGTAAAGGACAACATTTTGCCTATAGACACCGCGACTGAAATATCCTCATGACAAAAGATAACAGCCTTCAAAAAGTAGGATTTATGGAGGCCATTATCTTTGTATTCAGTTCTCATTTGAACTATGGCCTTAAAAATTTCTTTATTTCGACTATTCGCAGATGACTGCCTACTCTACAGATCAATAAAGACACAGAAAGACCATGACATCCTCCAAGAAGATCTCAAGAATCTAGATGCATGGGCAAATAACTGGAGAATGAGGTTCAACACAAACAAATGCTACATTCTAAGCGTAAAATGAAAGAGCCAAAAATTCTACAGTTTAAACAAACATATTCTACAAGAAGTCCAACATAAACCATACTTGGGCCTACAAATTTCATAGGACCTAAAATGGACTACCTATACTCCAATGTAGTGAAAAAGTCAAACTCAACACAAGGCTTCCTGAGAAGGAATTTGAGGTTTTTCCCACCAGAATGCAAGAAAACAGCATATATTTGGCTGGTCAGGTCAACAATGGAGTATGGAGCAATATAATTGGACCCCTACACATCTACAAACATCAATAAGCTTGAAAGAATTCAGCGACAAGCTGCAAGATTTATAACAGGAGACTACAAATCCAGAGAAGATGGTTGCATCTCAAATATGCTCGCTAAACTGGACTACAAGATCTACAGACATGACGCTCAAGCCAGAAGCTAATATTTCTGTACAAAGGGGTTGAGGGGCTGGTTCCTGCTTTAAAACCAGTTGAATATTTTAAAAAAGCACGTCCAAAAAGAACAATTACTGCCAAATAAAATCAGTAGTATACCGCTGTTCAAAAGTCATAAATCGATTGAGAGAAAACAAATCCAGGTTACAAACTAAAACCGAGGGAAACACATCAACTATAAGAGGAAAACAACGGAACATCAGAAACACTGAAGTGCAACAAAAACAAATGCCAATGCAACATACATAGAAACGAACTATTTGATAACAACTGCCATATTCCTGACTTGGTACAGGACATCTACCATAAATATTGTGGAAAAAACAAGTTAAGAACAACACAAAGTGATCGAGATTCAAACGAGCAAAACACCACAATATTCAAACTCATTTTTCGTGAAAACAGTGATCATAGTGATAGAGTGGAACCACCTTAAAGACACTGTAGTGCACCAGAGTTCGAGAAAATGGTCGGTCCTGTCGGTCAAAATGAGGCTCGGACCAGTATTTTGAAGGCTAGTGCCGGTCCCGATGACCGATATAAAAATGGCCATTGTAGTGCATATTTCGGCACTTTTTTACATCGGTTATTAGATGTAGAGCAACTGTTTCCAATAAGTGTTTACATCGGTTATCAGATGTACCCACTGCCAATTTCCGGTACTGGTTTATGGATTTATTATAAACAAACCAAAGCGGCGATCTACACGTGGCCTACTAAATTTGTTCATAGAGCCATCCCTGGCAAACAATCAGCGATTGAACCCTACAATGGAGCAAATAAATACTGTAACAGCCGAGAAAGTTATTCAGATGATGAAATGGATAGTGAAGATGACTTTAAATAAGAACAATCAGAAGACCTGAACTGGTCCTTTATTGTTAATTTGCCTGTGGGTGCGAAGAATAAAACTAATATTAATAAAGTTATTTTTCGATAAAATATGTTATTAATTTTATTTCAGGATAAAATTGACAGATTTTGTAGGACTGGCTAAAATTTTGTAGGACTGACAAATAATCATGCTTTGTCGGTCCCATGACCGACAGGTCAAAATAAGTTTTCGTGAACTCTGGTGCACTCACCGAGCATTGAGAGCTTCAAAGCTGCTCTCTCAAACCGTCAATAAATCGACAGCGCTCTCTCTACTATTGTATTAAAGCCATTATTGGTATCCACAACGTACTCAATACAGATACAGATGTTGCCATTTAGATGAATATTTGCACCATGACAGCTATCATGATAAATACAAAATTTCATTTTTTTAGCACTGTTAATTGATACCTGATTTTGGGTATATATGGGGACAAAGCAGTGTTCTCCCCAGGCCGATATGACGCTGCGGTGCGGTGAAGAAAATTAAAAAAATTTAAAACTTTAGTGCAGAAATTGAAGAAATAGATCGCAAATACATTGTATTTACGCATCGTGTGTGTGATCACTTGACCATTTATATAACGATTTTTTTCATTGGTCGAGAAGAAGAATCTATTTAAACACGACCAATGAATGTGTTGAATACACATGATAAATTTGAATACACATTGCTAAAGATATTTACTATGAAAACTATGAATGAAAGTATTAGTAGTTGAAACAATTAAAATAAAGTTTGATTAAAGATAACGAGGAGTGATTTACTTTAATAGAAAGTGAAAAAGTGTTGCTTGCAAGGTAAATTCGTCTGAAACTGTCATATTTTTAGAAATAAAATGATCATTGAACATCGATCGTGAATCCGTGCGTCTGGTAATATGTGATAATCAACACGGGTACAGAATCGCAGCAGCTTCTGTATAATGTCACTGGGTAAATAATTTCAATGGTTTTAACTTTGACGAATTTGTAAAGTTTCGTTTATATATATCCGCCAAAGATAGGATTAAACAATAATACGCACGGAAGCGTAATGTGAAACTACGGAAACTGGTCAGCTGTTCATTTATAAAAAAAAATTGTTTTAAAAAGTTGTATACCAAATATATTAACCATATTCGATTTTATTAATTCTGAATGAACATGTTCTCTGCAAATAAAAAAGGGGTGAATTATAAGCAAAAGGTAGATGATGGAAGTAGAAGTTTTTTTCACACCAATGACATCTAATGAAAAGGGGAATACAACTCCATCTACACTGTCAGTATAAGCAGATTTCATTGCTTTTCCTAATCCCAACCAAGCTCAAGTTTTAGCAATTGATAAAAGCAAGCACCATGTTTCTGGTTTCAATGACAAGTGGCTGACTGAGTTTTCATGGCTTAGAAATGTTAAAGGGGGTATAATCAAAAGTTATTGTGAGTGGGGGTTTAATTTTTAACCCTGAAGAGGATAAAGACAAAGTTGAGGAACAGACTGTCCAACAAAATAACACTATCTTGAAACAATATCCCTAGAAGGAGCAGAGAGTAGAGATGAATATTTATATTTTGACTTCTTTAATTGACTGAATACAAATAACTTTTGTGTTTAAAATCAATTTATTTCATATATATATTCTTGTAATTCATTAATACTCTGCATTATTAAACACATAACACAAAGCATTATAATTCATATTGCATGTCATGATTTATGACTTATTGCTTCAGATCACAAACGTTCACTCTAAAAAAAGAGTTACGCCCCCTTGAATTTTGCGCCTTAAAAAAATCCTGGGGAGAACACTGCAAAGTCCCCAATTACGGTAGAAAAATCAATAAAAAAAATCTACTAATGAACTTAAAATCGTTAACTTTATATTTCTAACCTTTTTATTTTACGGCATTTGCACAGAAATCTTTTTCTTTCTTCCAGTCTCGTTTTTCACGAGACTTTGAGTAAAATACATATTTATTAGTCTACAAAGTATAGGAAGGAGTACAATAACAATTTTATATATAGATATGAAAAAAAACGTTACCTGATCAACATCGGAAACGTTTCAGTATTTCCCTTTCTGTTTCAACAGATTCTGAAGTTAAAATGATGCTTGAATTCAAAAAATGATTTATATTAACTTCGTCCCTTTTTACAGGTAACACCTACCTCATATTAGCCATAAATGCCTAAAATGCGGAAAGTATCCATTTATGAGGATCTTCCCCCAACCTGTTCAAATTATTATGAGTATGACTGATTTGAGGTAAAACTCAATTTGTTCCACGCGTAACATTCATTTCTTATTCAAATTTATTGAGGACAACTTAAATACTCAGCTGAGAGAGAGAAAATTGGCTTTTGAAAGAGCATATATATGCTTATAACCTGGGGTCCAAGACGTTCCAACACAGGCCTCTTCGATACAGGGGAGCGGGAACGATCTCGATCATAATCATCTGGTTGTCTTTTCTCTTTGCGAGTTGTTGCAGATATGCCTCCACCTTTGCTGCTAAATTGACTTCCTCCTCGACCTCTTCCTTTTCCCATAAATACCATTTTAACATCAGAATTTGCTTGCAGTGGAGAGTAACTCGCACCTAAATATATTTTGTTAGAGCGCATGCGTGTATCGTAAACTGCAATGTCGTAAACTTTCATTGTTATTATACATATTAATGAATAGCCTAGCAAAATTTCTGTTAATGCTTCGCATCACATGTTTTTTTAATTGTGGTGTGCTATAGATAATCAACAATAATAAAAGCTATCTTTTCATTGACAACAATCATCAAATGGTCGAGGAAAATGTGGCCTTCTGGGAGTGGCGGTGAAGTCAAAAGCAGTAGACTCATTGTCTGAGTCAGTATTGTGTATTGATGCTGTTCAATAAAGGATGTAAATAGTGATAGTAGTTACAGTCGTTGTTAATTGAATTCCTGCAATGTCCTCGGCTTTAGGTGGCCCTGGAATGTCCCACCGTGGTAAGAATTGCCAATTATTGTTGAAGTTATTTTCCATTTGAAATTAATAAAAAAAATATTTGATGAAGCTAGGATTACAACCAAATGATTTTTTTTAAACACTGCACATGTTTCCGAGTTTTGGTTTTTCTTATTTACAATACATATCATTTTGATTAAAATTTAATTTTGCTTTCTGTGAGTAAATTTAAATTGTGACATTTAATAATTTATCAGGATTGTTTCTTTACAATTTATGAGTTGTACAATAATGTCAATATACATCTGTAAGACATGTAAGATGGGAATGTGCATTTTTTTTAATAAAAAGATGATTACCTTATATATATAATTAAAAGGTTAAGTGAGACAGTATATTAATTTTAAAATTACTTAAATGAACCATTTATTTTATACCTGATTAGTAGATAGAGCTTTGGAGAGAAACTAAAAATATAAAAATTAAAATGATCTGACAGCAAAATGCTTTTTTGTTGTAATACCGACAATATTAAGTAAATTCATGTGAAATTATCTGTCAACTCCTTATTAGTGTTAATGTCCTAATGATGATTTTCTAACATTTTTGTGTTTTTCGGAAACTATAGTAAACGGTACACATGGTAGAGAGAAACTGAAAAAACAAAAATTATCAGCAAATTGAGATATACAAATGAATTAACATGGCAAAAGGTGTTGTTGTCATTGAATGATTTTTTTTACACATTTTTTGTGGAAATTTAAGGGATAGATAGAGAGAAACTGTAAATACATGAAGCATAAATGATCACCAAAATAAGATATACAAATTAGTTAACTTTACCAAAATCATTAGTCTACTCTTTTTATGAGTTATTGCCCTTGAAAGACAATTTTACCCACTTAATAGAATCTGCAAATAGCAAAAATAAAAAGCACCTGTTTTATGTTTATTTATTATTTTTCTGATTGATTTTTGGGGATTTCCCATAATAAAAAAGAGAGCTTGCCATACATGTACATATACCTACATTGTAATAAGAGGCAGGTGTTACCTAATGAGCTCCTGAAGGTTGTTGCTGCATGTTCATCATATTTTTCAGTAAATGAGTTACACAAATTTGCAGGAAATCGTATGCTCCCCAGATGCAAATTGGCAGGAAATCCTATACTCATTTATCATGTTTCAGGAACAATCCTGAAAGAACAAAAGCTCTCTCACACCAGTCATGTGACTAGGGGTTCATTGTAGCCAGGTTGTTGAAACTATTTTTTTTAATAGTACCTCTGTTGTGACCTAATAGGACACTTATACCATTTATGCTTCCTTAGGGAACATATTAATTAAAGAGGGTAGTATTTTTAGTAACTCACAGTCCTTTTTTATTCATTAAGTTATGTGTCAGGAGAATCTACAATTCAGAATTTTGCACCATTTAAATTAATAGAGTAATGGGGGCCACAGACCCCTGACTAAAGGCAAATCACTTGCAAAGTTGGCAAGTTGGAATGCAAGTAACCCATTAAAAAGTTATTTACAACCCTGTATTACATTGTATACAGTGTACATGTACATTTGTAGTGTTATATATGTACCAGCAGATTTTTGAAAAGCAGCTTTAATCATTCAATCCTTTGGTTGTGCTGAATTTTTTTCTTGATTTGATTGTTTCATATTTCTGTAATGATTAAGGGACATTTACATGTAAGAACTTCGCACATATACAAAGTGTATATGAATAGAACATTGGTTCACATGTTGAAAGTTTCCTTTAAATGTTCATCTTACTTAGCGTTTTGGGGTTAACTGTTTCATTGGCAAAACTTCACACATCAGATCTTATATCTAGAACATAAAATAGTATTTTATAAGATTGTCTAGATGTGTTAGAACCTTTACCCTTTTTGAAATTTTTTTTTAAACAAAACAAAAACATAGTGTGGGTTATAGATTTCAAAATGATTCAACTACAAGTATCAAGCCGGTTTCCTGCATTTTACCATGCATTATGTAATATTCTTGTTTACTTTCAGGGGCCAGGCCTGAGGATGGTGTACGTGATATGATTATTATTAGTGATATTGATGAAAATGGGATTAATATCAATTTAAAGACAAGATACAAAGAAGATAAAATATATGTATCCTTTTCAAATCTTAATACATTGTACTTCATCTTTTTTAATGTAAGCTCATCTCAACAAAGTAAACAGGAACTATTGTATGATACCCTTTCTGGCCATGAGCTACATGTACCACAATCATGTAGATACTGATTGACATTGAGTAATACTTTTTGGAATGCAGTTGCATATTGCATATCATAAGATGAAAGTCAAATGTTTTTGACCCACATCTCATGCTCCACTTTGCATAATGGTTAGATACTGTGAATTTAGGAATTATTGCGATATAATTTACAAATTGCAAGAACATCAAGTTCCCAATAATAAAAACTCATATTCATAATTTCAGTAGTGATTTTCCTTTATAATAAGTTTGCAATCGCATAAATTAGATTTTCCATTTTTGCCAGGGGTCAAGGATTTGCAATGATAAATGCATGCATAAATTTCTGAATTTCCAGTATTAGATATAAGTCAATATAGGTCCAATTTCAGTTCTGAAATAGCTAAGTTACCTAGCTAGGTGAATGTAAGTTTTTCATGCAGCTCCAAATAAAACTAGGTCACTCTGTCATAAGTAGTGAATTTTGAAGATACCTTGATTTTTGATAGGAAATTTGAAAAAAATCTTACTGTTGAGATTCTTGCAGTGAATCAGCATATTTTCCTTCATTTCAGATGATGCTTTCTCCTCTACCTGTAACCCATATCCATCTCCATAATTGTAAACCCTATCAAAGAGGGGGAGGGGGACATACCCTGGGTTTAATTATTATAATAGCTGTCAGATTATTCTGATCTCTCTAAATATAAATTCATAATGGTAATATATCTTCCAAATATTAATTTGTTTATAACATTTCTGATTGAATAAATGAAGATGAACATTTGTATATATAAATGTTACTAGGTTGTTTACAATGGTAAAGTTCACTAACATAAAGAATTAACATCCTCCTTGATGAAGATTGATAAAGTCAGCAGGAAAGCACCTGCTTGATTCATAAAAATATCCTAAGTATTGGCTATAGTCATCACAGTGAGAGTATTCACAATAGGCTAAACACATTGTAGTGTATATTTCATACACAATAAATTGTCCATTTAAAAGTTAAGAATGGACTTATATGTAATAGAATTACTTTAAAATTATACTAAATTCCTAATAGTACATTTGTGTAACTTTTAATTTCTTGATGTGTCTGTGTGACCCACAATAAATACCTGAGTACTTATTTGACAGGCACATTGTAATTAGTTGTAAGAATTTTGTAATTGAGAGGCAATAATTTGTTATAAGACCCTTAAATATGTCAAGTTGAATTTGTTTGACCTTAAATAAGTATGTAGCATATATAGGTCTGTATGTCAGACTGATGTGTTCAAATGAGTAATTAGTACAGAAACACCAAAATTCATAAAATATTGTAAAAAAAAATTAAATGAATAGCAACAATTGAACTTCAACGAACAACAAAATATTTTTACAGGTACATTGTATACAGTTTACATTTTCAATTTAAAAATATGATCTGGAGCTAACATTTTTCATAGAAGAGTTCTTTGTTATATTTCATATCTTAAGACGAAAATTTGCTTGTTTAAAAGAACATAGCTTTATATTAGGTGTACACAAACTCAAACCAAGAACATTTGTTTTTCTCAAGACTCCCTAAATTTTTAACACTGCCAGTATAGGACTTAAGTAACAAGTCGAACAGTAAACACAATGTTTTGTACTAAATACTAGATAATCGTTGATGTACATCACCATTTAAATAGATAATGTAAATCGGATTATATCTTTTTAATACTTAATACAGATTTTACATGTGATACAGATGAATTGTATGAAAATAATTAAATCCTGAAATCATAGTTATTTTGTTTATCCTGAACCAAAAAATTGTCAAGATGTCTTGACTCCTGAGTTCAAACAGTTAAAACACTGTTGTCAGAGATCACCAGAAGCAGGAACAAATCTTTTGAGACCACTAGACTCAGTAGACCAAACTCTTATTGAGATAACTAGACTCCTAGCCCAAATTCTGTTCAAAGTTTGATACAAGTTTCATTCTTTGAAAACATTTCTTGGACTATTTGCTGCAATGATTTTATTTGGGCCATAAGCATTGTGCTTTGTCCATTGTTATACAGTAATCTTAGCCTTAATTGATTTGTATATATATGTATTTGATCACACCTATCTGTTTTCTACAGTGTTCATTTTTTCACAATACATTTATTTAGCTGAAAATTCATTTCTATATTTTACTTATATAAATGACTGGATTTTGGAAGTCATATGTTTTCGTCCTAATTATAGCCTCTGTCTCTCCTTTTCTCAATTAAAAAAAAATATCAAGAAAAATTACTGTAAATGTTATTTAAAATTTATACATATACATATATGGGAATTAAACACTTAAAAATGTGTTGTTATCTAAAGTTCTAATCTCATGACCTGTTTAAGGAAATAAACATTTTTTTATTATCCTTTTACAGTAAAACTTTTATTTATATCAGGATGTAAAATAATGTCTTTAAAAAGGTAAAACTGACATATTTTTCCTATTGGTGGAGTTATTTACAGCAGATTCCATTGAGTGTGTAGCCAAAGGTAATATCTTTGGTTAGCTTGCTTGTTAGCTGAACCGTGAAGTCATTGTTAGGTTAGGTAAACTACCCTACTTTAAGAATAGACTAGTCCGACAGAAAACCAATCGATCTGTCTGTTGGACTATGCTACTTCGAAAAGAGGGTAGTATACCTGACCTAATAATGACTTCACGGTTCAGCTAACAAGCAAGCTAACCAAAGATATTACCTTTGGCTACACACTCAATGGAATCTGCTGTAATTAACTCAGTAAGAAAGCTCCTTTTGGTCTTAGATAGCACCCGTTTTGAGCTACATTTGTAACTGGAGTGTGTTTAATTACCCTCTGAATAAACTGTTCCATTACATAATTTGCAATAAAGATTAAAAGATATGGTAAAGTTGTCAGAGAGACAACAAGTATAAATGTGCATACATTAATAATATAAATCTAAGCAATGGCTCCATTTCAACACTATTCATACTAAAATAAAAACAATTTTGTCCTTTGCTTGTTAGTACTGATATTATTGATTAACACCATATACAAGTAAAACAAGGGTTGCATTATGACATTACAGCAATTACTATGTAACAACAGGTACAATAGCTTAATCATTTGAATACTTAAATAGGAGTATACAATACCAATATAATGTAAATTAGAAAAGCAGCACAATTTTACCTTCAACAATGTTTTTTTTTCTTTCTATTTTTGACTTTTTCAAGCTTTTTCAAGCTCAGGTACTGTTAGTGCACTACTTCATAAAATTGATAAATCTGATCTAAGGAACACCCTGTGCATTGTTGAAGTATGTACAGTATGTACGTAAGTAGGCCCCCTGTTTAGTTTTTATTTAGAAAAGGTGACCTTAAAATCAGCAAAGATAGTAACAGTCAATGCCATGCAAATGAACACAAGAAGTGCTTAGGGACATGCAATAACAATTTTTTTAAAGCCTTAAAAGTGGGGTGTTTCTATATAATTTAAAATAAAACACAAAATTTACATTTGTTCATGTCGGACAACAGACATGACAGAGGATGCTATCCTTTCTAGATATAATGTTTTGATATGGCTTGTGTTAAGTTAGATATCAGCATTTTAGACCCAAAGGTTATATTTATCATAAGGATTAAATAATGATGTTTAAATTGACATTAGAATTTATATCCATAACAATGTTCCTTAGATATTTTCATTTGCTTCATTAGAGCCCATTGACGAAGAATATAAATGGAATAATTTTGTTTTATCATAGAAATATCCATTTCCTGATGTTTGTTACTCTTGAGGTTCAGCCTTTTCTTGTGCATGTATTTCCTTTCAGTAATTATTGCTGTCAGTCATTTTATGAGAATGCTTAAAGAAAACATGTAAATATGGTTTATAGCCTTGAAATAAATCTGAAACACAGCACCTGCAAAGTGGAAGTTTAATTATTTGTCACTTAACTTTTTCTAAAGGGTAGAAACTAAATCTTTTGCAAAAATATCAATAATTAGGTTATCAGGAAATTGGCATTATGACTCATGTGTTGTTACCTGACCAGGTAAATCAATGTCATACAGCTGAGCTGCCCATTTATTTGTAAATCATCTCAGCAGTCTTTTCATGATACCAGATGGCAGATAAAATGTACAGCTTTTTTGGTTTTGAATAAGCTATTGGATTATTCCATTGGCAGTCTACTTTAATATGCAAAATTATATAAGACCTTTCAGTTTATTTAGTCCATTTGAAATGTGCAAAAAAGTACATTGTAATTTGCAGCATGATATGTTTTTGTCACAGATTTCTGAAGTTCAAGGTCCAAATAATGGAAATCTTCTTGTGTATGCTGTTGATACTCAAAAAGTCAGCAGCCAAAATAGATTTTCACTATCTGAGGTTGTTTTGACCACTATTAAATCAGTGATTCATCTATTAGAAATAGTTTTATTGAGATAAAATAAAAATTTATATCTATAAATTAAACAAATAATTATTTTAAACTTTAATAGATAAGTTTATGAAAAAAAAGACATCCCTGCCTACTATGTCTTCCAAATGTTTATCAGTATGAGATATCAGTATGGTTGTTTTTGTGTGAGAGAATGTTAAATGTTGACACATTATGATCAAATATGAATTAGCATTTTTTATTGTCAATTCCAGACTATTTTATTCTTTTAACTTGTTTATTTGTACTTTTGATATATTCCTTAACCTGGTACAAGACTTTTACAGGGTCTATATTGGTAGCAGTTAACCCATATAAACAGTTGTTAATATATGAACAGGTGAGGAGACACATATAAAGAATAATTTTTATACATATGTCATATTTATGTCAATTAGAGAAGTCTTGTTATTTATGAGCACCAAGAACTTGTGTATATTGTGTCCTTTATAGAGACAGTGTATGTACCTCGTCTATATAGAAATAAACCAATAAATGGACATGACTTTAACAATTCCATGTATGGTCATCTGTCACCTTCTCCTAAACCTGAGTATTTAGGCCATTGGAACCTAACTTGGTCTAATTTACCTCATAAGTAGATATAGGAAGATGTGGTATGAGTGCCAATGAGACAACTCTCCATCCAAGTTACAATTTATAAAAGTAAACCATTATAGGTCAAGGTACGGCCTTCAACACGGAGCATTGGCTCACACCGAACAGCAAGCTATAAAGGGCCCCAAAAATTTACTAGTAATAAGGGTATTGTTAAAAATGATTGAATGATTTGTGGTTGAAATCGTTAAATCTTTAAGGGTCATTTGCTACGAGATATAAAAAAAAATATGTGATTTTTTTTTTGTTCAATCATCAATGAATGCAAAAACAGTGAAACAATAATTTGATTTTAGCAGCCAGTGTAATTCAATTTTGTCAAAATAAGCTAATAAACATCGCTAATGAATTATTCACTTGCCCCTCAATGAAGCCGTATTCATGTGGCCTTTTATTCAACCCCTTAGCTAGAGATGGGTTATGCATAAACTAGGCTTGTTCAGCTATTAAAGGGAAAAGAATGTCAACATTGAAAGTGAAACAAGGATAAACCATTTGGTTGACTGATTTTATCCACAAAAACTCATTCTTATAACGGTAAAAACCATGATTAACATATTTGTATAACCTATAATATAAAATCAAACAGACCTAGAAAAATCCAATTGCACATGGTCTCAATCTATTTATGTTTATATCGGGTTATATGACCGACAGTGTTCTTTCAAGGTCACCTCGATGGTTAATGGCTTCTAGACTAAAATAAACACAAAATGAAGATACATATTATCGAGTCCATGCATCGTAAATTGTTTATTTTAGACTTTTTAGAATTCGTATATACATTTTAGTATGTTATAAATAAAATATGAGAATTTGAGTCAAATCCGTGAACATGAATTTGACAGCTAATGCCCCTTTAACATGTAATGGCAATGAACCTTTAAAGATATTTGTTCTTGACTTGGTCTTTATATAGAATCATTTATGTATTTTGTTTTTAAATTGTCAAATGAAATGGCAGCCTTCTCTGTTCATTGAACATACATAGTAACATACACATAAGGTCAAAATACAATTATTGGTCTATTTGCGCTGCAAGAACAAGACCTTTTAGAGTAAGTAAAGAAGAGGAGCGAAAGATACCAGAGGGACATTTTAACTCATAAATCGAAAATAAACTGACAATTCCATGGCTAAAAAAGAAAAAGACAAACAGACAAACAATAGTACACAAAACACAACATAGAAAACTAAAGACTAAGCAACACGAACCCCACCAAAAACGGCGGGTGATCTCAGGTGCTCTGGAAGGGTAAGCAGATCCTGCTATTACTGCTATTATAGTTGTGCTGTCATGCTACAGGAATAACAGTTAGGAAGCTTCTTGGCAGTTTTTTTGCAACTATTTTTTGCACATATGATTTTATGATGTTCTGGATTTTGGCGTAAAAGCAAATCAAGGGTAGCTGTTTCTTAACAGACCAATATATTGGAAAGTACATGTTTACAGTTTCACTAAAAAAGTGTTCTTTTTGGAGTGTCTAGTTAAAAAGTAATTTACAAAAATCAAAGTGCATTATGTCAAACATAGGTTATGTATACAAAAGTTAGTATGGTACTTGTAACAATATATACATATCCTGTCTGTATATCTCTAAGGTTGTTACAATTATGTCATTCTCATTCAGATTAATCTCATATTTCAATATTAAAAATCAATTGACTGTTTGTTGTTTGCTTTTTTCTGCTTAAAACTACAAGTACTTCTGGACTTTAATATAAATTTCAATTGAATTGAATAATTGTTATCAAGTGTAAAATTACAAAATTATATTGTGTAAACAGGAAATAAATAAAGGTGTCCTTTCACAATCAAAATACTAAAAAGGAAATTAAATTAATCATAATGAACTGAATGGTCTTTCAGAAGAAAATATTAATAAGCACAAAATAAAAAAAAAACAATAGTAAATCAATTATTAATTTAGTCAATTTGTAATTCCGTTGTATTGAATCATTGGTTAGAACTAATCACATTAATGATGTATTATTTATTTGTCACATGTCTCCATCTTTGTTGACAAGAGTTTTCATGTCTCCACCGGTATGGTCACATTGATTTCTTATCTTGGTCTGGTCTCACATTGATTACTTCAGGATATTGATGATGCAATTATTAATTAAGTTATACACAAATATTGATATTACAATTTATAGCATGTGAATCAAAATTAAAAAAAAAAACTGAAAATAAGGAGATATGGGATGAACGCCAATGAGACAACTTACTATCCACCAAAGTTCAAATGAAGTGGATGTAAGCAATTGGCCTTTTAACAATGAGAAAACCCCATGCCAAATAGTCCACTATAAAAGACAAGATATAAAAATGTGAAACAATTCACTTGAGAAAACTAATGACCTAATTCAAAACAATTTACAAACAACAAGTATGACAGAGGTAAACAAATGCCAACCACTGAAACATGTATTTGGTACAATGATAGCTACATCTTACAAAGAATAAATTATATAGTTTGCAATATCAGAGCTACACAGCAAGTTAGTCATTCTGTTCTAGTCTTATGTTCCAAGAAATTTACATATAAGGCAAATAATGCTGTTCAATTAACCCAGGTTGATGGAATAGAATGTAAAATTTGACATTTGTTTCTGTCAAGTTAATCCGAAAAAGACCTCTGAAACTGACAAGAAATAATATGATTTCATAGGATTTTATAGCTAGGATAACAGTCATCAAACTAAGGATCAAATGATTAACATGAAATATGACAAGGCTTATGTTAAACATATCAGTTGACGAATTATAAATGACAGATGTCTTTCATCTGAATAAGACCACTTTGAATTGTATGTTTTAGATAATAACGATCAGTTCAATAGTAATATTTAAAGGAATAGCGATAGGATGTGTAACTTTGTACAATTTAGAATCAAGTAAGGGCTTTATTTAAACCCCTTGGAGGAAATATCACCATTTAAACAAATCAGAAGATATTGCAAAAACTTTGTAATAGTTTTGTAAAATTTTGGAACACAAAAAGAAGAGATACAAAGAGTAGTAAATTAGATACTTATTTCAAACTTAAAACTTGTTTTTCGAAAGAAATGTATCTATCTTTAAACAATTTTCAATTGAGAAGTGCCATATGTAAAATCAGAATCAGTGCACATGATCTCAAAATAGAAAGAGACAGGTATAAAACTTTATATATAGAAAGAGACCAAAGGCTTTGTAAGAAATGTACTCTAAATCTGGTTGAAGATGAACAACATTTTATTACTAGTTGTCCAGCATACAATAATGATAGGGAGATATTTTTCAAGGAGATAAACTGTATCTGTCCCAATTTTATATATCTTTCAAATGAGGCAAAATTTGTTTGGTTATTTACTAATGAAAATTTGTCTATACTTAAATATTTAGGGAGCTATATTATTACATGTCTAGATGTTAGACGAAATGTTAATTAATGTATGTAATAACAATGATAATTGTAATGATTTTATAGTTCTGATCCTGCCTGGAATTAAATGTATGTGATTTTTTATAGAATGAAGATAATAACATCTGTCTGAACTTTTCAATGTTTCATTTTAATATATAAAAATGTTTTTCTGTTACAAATCATGATGTATTGTTTTATGTGTACATGTTATGTTGCCCACCAAGGGCCCTTGATTGGAATAATAAATATTCTTATTCTTATTCTTATTCTTAATGAAGTATAAACAAGGAATATTCCTATAATGCATATTCTCATATCTTTACATACTTTACTCGACCAACTGACCCATGCAAATATTTTGAGGTACAGATTTGATGATGATTCACTACAATATATTCCCTTATGGTTATGGCCTATTATCCATTTCTTGCATGAAGAGATTTCGCATATCATACTGAATGGAGTGGGATATATGAATAATTGATACGAAAAATGCATCCTCAATATAATACAAAATACTCATATGTTTCAATTTTGAATCATACAAAATGCTTGAAAAACATCTGATGTTAACTGAAGTCTTGGTTCCAGACACAATGTTCTCAATAGTGAAAGGGGACTCATATTTGAAGTGAAAGCTTAAAAAATAGAAAGTATTTCACCAGGACACATCTAATTTTACCATAAGAGAAACGGGTAAAGCAACTCGTGAGAATTTGATATCGCTTGATATCAACATTCGTTATTTAATTACAATAATAATAATAAACTCCCTAAAGGCATGTATTGAAATTAAATAAATCAAATGAAAATCAAGCGATATCCAATTCTAACTCGTTGTTAACCCATTAAATTATTATTTGAAATAACTGTTGATACTGAAAGTGAATAACAAAGTGGTCCAGATATGGAAGGCCATAGGACAAGCTACTCTATTTACAAGAAATTTTATGATTAAAATTGATGGGGTACTGAAATGTTTCTGACTTACACAATTTTTACTCATAAAGAACCTTGAGATACTGCAAAAGACAAGGAGTGAAAAATGTATATCTCTCAGATGTCCAGTACTGTTTGATGTTCTGTAAGGACCTCAGATAATTTTTGAAATGAAAACTCAATGCTTCACATAGTTCAATGCATGTAATTGTTATCAGAATCTTTAAGTATTAAGTATGCAAACATTTAGCTGTTATGGTATTGATGTAGATTGTCTGTAGGGAAATTGATTTGCCAATGCAGTAATAGAGAAATGCAATATAGAGTAAATGGGAGAGAGATAACATTTCATTCATAATGTCAGTATGTTCATAAAATATAATAACGGGATTCAGAATTCCTCAGTATTACAAAACTCTGTACTTTACATGATATTTATGATATCATGGACAGAACATGTATTAGAAATGATAACACTTTATTGTTAATCTAATACAAAGTTGGGAGTATTTTGCATAGTTGCAGTTTTTATAACCCACTACACGGGTGTGTGTGTGTGTGGGGGGGGGGGGGGGGGGGGGGGTGTCTATATTAATAATATGTTAAAGTAAATAGTTGAAAATTAATATTTTTTTGTAAAGCTTTAGCCTAGTTAGATGTAGTTAAAAAATTTTCCTTTCCTTTTTGTTTACAACAGAGATGTTGTATAGACCATAATTGTGAAAGGAAACAATCATGATACCATGAGTACAACCCTCTTGTTTAGAAATAAGTCAAGAGACCTAAGTTACAATACTGTCTTTGTCTTTTGAGATATACATTTGTAGTTAGGAGACCATGTGTGTATTTCCTTTTTTCGATGAGAACAATCTAAAGGCATATACAATCAGATTTATATTTGCTATTAAAGTATTAGCTTTATTGTCTTACTTTTTTCGTTGCGAAAGGCGAGACATAGGTGTTACTATTCTGGCGACAGCATCGAAGGCGTCAACAATTGTTAAGTTTTCTGCTCAAGTTAGTTTGATAGGAAGTACTTGTCATAGATCAAATGTATTTTCGATAAAGTTGCATAACTGTCACCACAGGAACTCCCCATATGGAGCTTCATATCTGATAAATGCATAGACTATTTACAAGTATCACTCCAAACGTTGGCTTGCCAGGGGACTCCCCTTTCTCAAAATCCTGGATTCGCACCTGAATGTTATCAGATTATCTTTTTCTGAATTTTCTGCCAACAAGTGAGACTTATCTATGTGTCAACAGTTTATTGGGATTGTAAAGCATCACAAATAAATCAAATTTATTCTTCTCTATAAGTAAGAAACTGCAATAACAAAGCAGCATGAAATTGACCGAAAAGGGCTAAATGTGAAAATAAGTTGATTTATTGTATAGCAATGCAATATTTCCCACAGAATGTAACTGAATGTTGCTGGCAATATTCTATGATAATATGGCTTCATATCAACTGCATCATCGGTGACAAAAATATGTTTAAAACAGTTTTTGTCTCGCTTGCGACGAAAGTCACAGAATGCGAGACATGGGTATTACTATACGGCGGCGGCGTAAACTATTTGTATAAAGCTTTACATTTCAGAAGCTAGAAGACCTGGATGCTTCATATCTTGTATGCAGATACCTTATATTACGAAGTTTCCGTCTGTCATATGCCCATTGTCCTTGACCTCATTTTCATGGTTCAGTGACTGCTTGAAAAAAAATTACAGCTTTTTTGTCATGTGAATTTCTCACTTATTATGAGTAATAGGATAACTATATTTGGTATGTGGGTTCCTTGCAATGTCTACTTGTCTGTAAGACAGGGTTAACCTGACCTCGACCTCGATTCATGGATCAGGGATCAAGGTTAAAGTTACATGATTAGGTCTGTTTCTCAGATACTACAAGCAGCAGGACAACTTTATGTGGTGAATGGAATGATTGTAAGGGGTACATGTCAGACTGGCAGGTTTCATCTGACCTTGACCTCATTTTCATGGTTCATTGGTCATTGTTAATTTAATTGTGTGTTGGTCTGTTTTTCAAGTACTGTAAGCAATAGGTCAACTATATTTGGTTTATGGAATGTTTGTGAGGTGTACATGTCTGTCTATCTGGTGTCATCTGACCTTGACTTCATTTTAATGGTTCATTGGTCAATGTTAAGTTTTTGTGTTTTGGTCTTTTTTGGTTTTTATACACCAATTATAGTTGACCTATTGCTTTTAACATTAAGTTTATGTGTTTTGGTCTGTTTTTCAATTACCATAAGCACTTGGTCAACTTTTTTTGATTTTTGATGTATGGAATAATTGTTAGGTGTACATGTCTGTGTGACAGTTTTTATCTGACCTTGACCTCATTGTCATGGATCTTTAAAAATCTTAAGTTTATGTGATACTTGTAGTAAAACCTTTATCTTTAAGACTTTCAACATGAAATCAATGGTCAGTAAAACAGGCGAGACATTTCAGCGTGTGTACTCTTGTTTCAACTTCTGCTATGCAATACAAGGGTTACTGCATGAATATTAATGAATATCATCCCTAGTAATTTTATTGTACTCGCATGTTCGTGCAATATAAAAATCTATTCTGGACAATATTCACCAATATTCATGCAATAATAACTGTATTACAATACCAGTAATCATTATTACACTGGTCTAATATTTACAGGTATATATTGTTAATTATATTTATTTTTCTTTACATCAACCCATATATTCCATGACACTTTCTGATCTTATGTTAATTTTATAGAAAGACATAGAAGAATATAGTGGAAAGAAAATAAGCCAAGTGGAACCACATGTATTTGCTGTTAGTGAAGAAGCCTTCCAGAACTTGAAGAACTCTGGTGTGAACCAGTCATGTATCATAAGTGGTGAAAGTGGAGCTGGAAAAGTAAGCTGCTCCAATAATTATTTAAAGTTACTTAAGACCATGAAAGAAATTTTGTTACTGTATAGCAACAATATATCATATTGTGACAGTGTGTATAAAGCTTCAATTTAGTAATGTTCTCAGTGACAAAGATTATAGTTTCAAAGAGATTATCAAGCTTTGCTATACACTAAAATGATTATTGCATGAATATCTGTGAATATTATCCCTTGTAGAATATATATTGCATGAACTTGTGTATATATTCACCAATATTCATGCAATAACTCTGTTATATTAAGAGATGCACATATGGCTAAATAAGACCCTGTTTACACTTGTACGAAAATGAACCGATCTTTATTTGAATCGATCTTAAAAGGACCAGTTCGCGTTTACACTTGCACAAGCAAGATTGATCTTATTTAGTCTAGTGCGTTTACTCTGCAACATAAAAAGAACTGCTCTGACCTGATTACTTTACATTTTGTAAACAAATAATTGTAAAAATAGAATAATACGGTAACTTGTGGATCTTTGGAATTTGGTATTCAGTTATTAATAATTTTAACAAAGAAATGTGAGAAGACTATCACTTAAAAATGAAAGGTCAATGCATTAATTTGAAGATGAGAATTTGCAGCAAAGAAATAGAATTTACCGATTCAGAAGAATGATCCAAAAACGGCGCAATCTATGATATTACTGTTCTTGTCCCATCCTTCGTTTTTGAACACTTGCATTTTTGTCGCTGAACATGCGCAGATTTATTTTAATAACTTAATATAACATTCACTTGAAGAAAGATTGATCGCGATCGATCTAAGTGTTTACACTTGAAAAGATCACTTCAAATAACATCTATTTTTTTAAAACCACCTCTGGATCTTTCCCGTTTACATTAGACTTAAGATCGGTCTTTTTTAGATCGATCTCAGGAAAGATCGATCTTTTTTACAAGTGTAAACAGGGTCTAAGTGAACCCAGTATAAGTCTAGCCAACTAAATCCTGGCTAAGATACATCAAGAAATTGAATTCAGCAATAATGAGCATGCAGGATCTATTAAAATATATGAGATGAAGGATTTTTATAAGTTTACTATACTATTAAAGTTACTTGACAAATTTGGTGAGTTTGCATACACATGAACAGCTGAATTTACAAAGTTAATTGATGTTTCCATTGAAATTTGCCATCAACCTTATAACCTTTAAGTATTTGGTAAATTCAAATTTAATTTCAGTGCTAAATAAAACTTTACACTTCAAATTAGTTGTAACAATTTGCTAAGGAAGTAACTTGTATGTGAATGTGTTTTTTATTTTTTTTTAATTGATTATATATCTTAATTATTTCCTTTGATAGTAATTATACATTGCAATTCAAGGTAGTAAAATCTTCGTGAGAATTAGAGGAAATCTGAATTTAAACAGCACATCCTGTAGAAGATTGCTGTCTGGTGTGAAACTGAAGGTTGTCATTCCACTAATTTCTTAGTAGGCTTAAATTAATAAATGAAATCATACATTTCATTTTAAATTTAATTTTACAAATATGATTATGTCATGCCCTATCCATAACATGATATTTTCTAAGCATATTAGATTTTTTTTAAACTTTAGTGGATTTCTGCCTTTTGTAGTATGATATCATTTGATAAAGGACACGATATTCAAAATGTTGTGGCTAAACAAGGATGAATAAAAATTAACATCAAAGACAAGGAAAAGTATGTTCACTATAGAGTCATTGAACTAAATGAAAGTGACATCTCCAATAAGGAAATTTTTATTAAAGAAATAGTTATTGACTAAAATGTAGTACAAATGTAATTCATTGAATTCCATACAAATATTTAGCCAACTCTTGCAGTAGAGTAACAATATTTATATCCAGAATAATTGAATGCATTAAAATAGTGAGACAGATGGTTATATATAGAGGATCAATACTCATGGAGTAATTTGTCCAGAGTTACTCATCCTTCAGGGAACTATTATCTTATCAAATATGTATGACCATTTGTTTTTATCATCATTATATTATATGATTCCTTATGTAACTATAAAATTTCTCTCAGTCTGTGATTTTGTCAGCCGTTAAAGATGTTATTCTTATGGGAAGATATTAAGATTAGGCAAAAGATGAAAAGTTAAACATTGAAAAAGAGCTCAAGTTGTATCAAGGTCATGCATATGTTATACATGTAAATTAAATATATGTTTTTGCAAAAAATTTTAAAATATTAATGTTTATTGTCAGTTTTTCAGATTACGAAAATTCCCCAAACCACACTGTTGCTGTCATGCATGGTCTTTACATTTAATAGCATAGAACTTAAAACTAATTATTAAACCTAATGATGTACTTGATAAAATTAAGATAAATTACTCTAAAAAAGTAAGCCATGCTATGGATAATTTAAAAGATGTATATGAACAAATGTATATTTTAGCATATGCTGTCTGCCAACATACTTTAGCAACATAATTGTTTTATTTTTTAACAGTTTTTTTTTTTTACAGACAGAGACCACAAAGTTTATACTACAGTATCTATGTTCTGTAACAAACCATACATCGTTCTGGGTGGAGCAGCAAATTCTTGAAGCCAATACAGTTCTAGAAGCTTTTGGTAATATTCAGTTGAATGATAAATCTTTAGATTTGGAAAGCAAGCTTGTCTGTGTATTTTTTTATATGAGATCTAAATTTTCTGTTCATGGTCATATAAACACATTAAATTCAAATTCAAGTATAGTTGTGACTATTAAACAATCCTTGTTTATAAAATAAGAATTGTATAAGTTGATGTACATAAAAAGCATGATTATTGAATGGAAATAAACAAACAGAATTATTTTTACATCGCGATGACCTTGGGGTCATTCAGATGTATTGCTATCGCCTAGATTTCCATTATGTAAATTAGTTTTGGGTTTGTAACCGATCTATAAACATGATAAATATGCGCACATAAACGAATGCAAAATAACATTCCTTATCGTTTGATATAAATACATCTCTTCAATGAATACTGATAAAAATATTTTTGTTTACAACATAAATTAATAATATGAAAATGTTTTGTAGTTCGATATATATATATAAGTAAAAAATCATTGATAATATCAATGCAGACGTACCGAAAAATTGTGTTAAAGCATGCGGAAGAATATCTCAGAGAACTTTTTGCGAGGACCGGTAACTCTGTAATTGTTTTTGCGGGAAAATATGAATGCCTACTCGTATCCAATCTTAGAAAAATCGAATTTTTACAGAAAAGTGTCCACCATGTATACTGATTTGTATCACTACAATATAATAGTTATTATGGTGAAGTTGAATTTCCTGTCATTTATTCATCATCCACGCACGAACTTGTCTCAGAAAAAAATATATCTCTGTACATTAACCTCAGTTTCAGGTAAAGAGATATGTTGTTTTTTTCTGTGACAAGTGCTTTTGACCATCCTCAAGAACTTGTGGTCATCCGATGTTCAGTACTTCAGTACTTTGATTATATATTACAATGAGTACTGAGCAGTAAAATTTCTAATGTCACTCGTCACCCATCCTAATCAGGGTTTTATTATATACTCATAGAATTTATGTCTCCATTGCTTTTTTGTTGTTGCAATTTTTTATGAATGCAACTAGATTAGCAATACAATAAAACTGTTGAATTCCTGTGTATTAATAAATCCCTATGGAGTAGAGCAGTCTAGAGTTGTAATGACTTCTGCATATTGATAGGAATCTATAATGCCTTTTATTTTATTGGAGTTATATCCTGAATGTTCTTTTGTTTAATTCATCAGTTTCTAAGTAACACTTGAGAAGTAACAAAACATGAAAAGATAATATCAAAATCAATGAAACTACACCATATTTAAAAATAAGTAAACACAATGAAATTAAGCGAAAGCAAAAACAATTTTAGCTCACCTTGGTCAAATTGCCAGTGAGTTTGTTTTGTTTTGTGAACAGTTTTCTTTTTGTTTGCTGAAACTCCATACTTGAGACTAAATAATGCTTAGGGAATCTATATTGAAAAGAAAACCAGACAACCAACATCATCCTCTGTTGCTTTGAAAAGAACTTCAAATAAAATCAACAAAATGTTTAATCAATTATTTTAAGAATAATGATGGATATTTCAATCAAACATCATCCACAAGTAATTGAAATTTAGACTCCTATGCAACTGTTGTGTTACTACAAATTTTAGATTGTACCCATCACTACTATTATCATGGTTGAGCTTCCATCTAAATTCACATTGATTGATTGATTGTTGGTGTTTAACTCCACTACATGATGATGGTCAGTTTTTATTACTGGTTGAAGCAGAAGTAGCCAGGGAGAACCACCACCTGGGGCAGGAAAACTGGCAATCCTAGTTGCCACTTAGGCACTGAGTCCTACACAGTTTGAATGTCTGTTCCTTTTACGTTGACATCAGATGACATTGATCTATAACCTTATTATAAAAAAGTGTTTATTCTATTCACACGAAAAGTTTGCTCCAAGTTTATAGACGACTAGACATTCTGTAGTACTAAGAAGATTTTTTGATAGTGCTATTAGGAGATTTTGACCTTTAAACTTTGTATTGAATAGGATTCAACTTATTCTCATGGGAAAAAATTAAAACAATTTTGATGACAATTCAATGTAAGAGGCCAAAACAATTTTGATGACAATTCAATGTAAGAGGCTGACTCTGGTGCCTATAAGTTTTGGTTGTAATGCTATCTGCTGATCTTGACCTTTGATCTCTGACCTTTATTTTACAGAAAAAAACCCACAAAAAATAAAAATATAGGTGAAATGTTCTGAAATGGATAAATCATTTATCACATAATGGAGTTTCTTGTTTTGGTGGTGCCATGTACCATAGTTTAACCCTCCTGAAATGCATTTTGGTACTCACTCAAATAACAATATTTTTAATAGCTCTTAGTTGTGCATTACCAGATAGTTCCTCCTGAATAAGCTTGGATGCCATATTCCTGTAAAGATTTCTTAACCTTGAAGTGTGACATTCTTTAATAATGACTAACAACCTCATGTCACAGTCAAACATTGCCACCACTACAAAGAGGAGATAATGATAATGAACTGGGTTTTTTTATTATTTGAAACTCCAAGTATTATGAGGTTGAACATAGACAGTTTTGTGTTTTGACATATATGCCAGGTTAGCAACACACATTGATAAATATTACAGAAGTAGTAAGACCCAGTAAAAACATGACACTGTTTGGGTTTGGTCCAATACAAATAATAAAAGTCATTTATTTCAGTTAAGAGTTCAGGAAGGAAATGAAAAAAGCCACTTGCATATTGACGTTTTTCACAAGTGCAAATCAAATATTAATTTTTACAACTTTACACTTTCAAAACAGCAGTCACCTTAAGACAATCAACATTTTGTTGAAGCAATTAAATGTTTAGTAGAATTACTCAATTTTTCATTTTTGTCGAGCCTTCGACTTTAGTCGAAAAAGCGAGACATAGCGATCCTACATTCCGTCGGCGTTGTCGTCGGCGGCGTCCACAAATATTCACTCTGTGGTTAAAGTTTTTGAAATTTTAATAACTTTCTTAAGCTATCCTGGATTTCTACCAAACTTGGACAGAAGCTTGTTTATGATCATAAGATAGTATCCAGAAGTAAATATTGTAAAAATAAAATTCCATTTTTTCCGTATTTTACTTATAAATGGACTTAGTTTTTCTGCTGGGAAATATTACATTCACTCTGTGGTTAAAGTTTTTAAAATTTTAATAACTTTCTTAAACTATCCTGGGTTTGTACCAAACTTGGACAGAAGCTTGTTTATGATCATAAGATATTATTCAGAAGTAAATTTTGTAAAAAAAATAAATCCATTTTTTCCTTATTTTACTTTTAAATGGACTTAGATTTTCTGCCAGGAAACAACACATTCACTCTGTGGTTAAAGTTTTTAAAATTTTAATAACTTTCTTATACTATTTTGGATTTGTACCAAACTTGGACAGAAGCTTGTTTATAATCAAAAGCTAGTATCTAGAAGGAAATTTTGTAAAAAAATAAATCTATTTTTTCCGTATTTTACTTTTAAATGGACTTAGATCTTCTGCCAGGAAACAACACATTCACTCTGTGGTTAAAGTTTTTAAAATTTTAATAACTTTCTCATACTATTTTGGATTTGTATCAAACTTGGACAGAAGCTTGTTTATGATCAAATGCTAGTATCTAGAAGGAAATTTTGTTTTCTTCCAGATAAAATTACATTCAGTCTGCAGTTAAAGTTTTTAAACATTTATTAGATTCATAAACTATCCTGGATTTTTACCAAACTTGGACTGAAGCTTCTTACAATCAAAAGATAGTATCAAGTGGAATATTTTTATTGATTTACTTCCTCATTTTTGTAGAGCCTGCGATTAACAGAAAAAGTAGGCGAGACACTGGGTTTATACATTTCTGCCGAATATGATGTTGAAAAGTAACATAAAAAACTATCTGTAAGGGTTTTCTTGCAAAAAAAAAGTAGTAATATTAAGGAGAGATTATCTTCTTAACACTTCCAATAGGTTTACAAGTAGACAAAATGAATAAAGGGAGATGTGTGGTATAATCCAATGAGACAGAAACCCAATAACAGAATAAATTAGTATGGTATGTTACAGGATTGATTGAATGTTTTATGCTTAACATCTAGTTTGAAATTAAATACAAGTTTACATGTTACAACATAGTAAGTTGTCTTTAAATCAAATATCAGTTAGTTGTAACACAATATTCTACTTAACTTTACATAATAACAATTTCCGCCACAACATCCTCAGACTGTAAACCTCTTTTAAGTTTACTTTTACTAGTCTATAACTTATAGTATATTTTTCTTGCTTCCTAGCAAGTAACTTACTGTAGATCTGTATTGTTTATGGGGTTCTGATTTACATTTTTTTTTCAAGGCTGAAAGGGTAAAGTTCAATGTTCAACAAAATACAAGGTTGTGGTATGTTCCCTTTTAATTGCAAAAATAGTAAATTATTATTATATCTTTGAAATATATGTAAATTCTATTTATAAATGAAAAGAAAGATCTAAAATTGACCCTAAAGTGAATAAATGTCAGTGTTGTTGTCACTTTGCTGCCGTAAAGATATGGAAATTTACATATTACTAGACCTAAAAATAGTTTTTGTTGAAATTTGAAAAAAAAGACATCTTGTACCATAATATTTTGTATACTGTGGTTATATCTAAATGATAATGACAAGATATCAAAATTAATCTTTTGACAGTTTTTGCAATCTAGCAATATGATTAAACAAGGGAAGTTTGAACCGATAAAGTAAATATGCAGGGGAAAATTCAAAAAAAATATACTGGAATTCTGACTAATGTCTTGTGAACATATGAAGGATGTTATTGAATTCAATGGGCGAAAAAAGTGACGTAATCAAACAGTTTCAAACACAAAGATCATTAGGTTTATTACCTTTTAAACAGCAATCCTTGCCCAGACCATGGAAATTAATGTTTATTTGGCAAAATTTAAGGATTCCATATAAGTGAATGGAAAATGTGAATAAAGGAAATTTTATTTTAAAGGAAAGAAAAATCATGCA